CAGCTGGGAAATTGATGTATCTGTAAAACATTGAAGCAACAGCTGTATTTCCAGGTTACTTTTTCATTCTTAAGACTGGGGATTGGCTGAGGCAAGCTTGCTCCAAGAAGGGGACCAAGATGCTCATTTCAAATTCAAAGTCAGAGCACTTCTCCTCTTGCTCCCTTCTCTGCCAGAAACCTGATCCCACCCCACAACCTGGTGACCCAGCACCCAAGCTGGTGCAGAGCCATCCTGCCTTTACCTATGGGGTTCCCACCTTGCCCATACCCAAAAAGCCCATAGCTCACCCTTGCCAACAACCCAAAAACCCACTTGAATAACAAATTTATCACTAAAAATAACCTAGTTTCCTTGAGGCTGAATTCAAAGACAATTACTTAGATCAGATTTTGGTCAGTTGCCATGGAGAATATCAACCTTCAAAAATAAAGCAAACACTGAATGCAGTACTTGGCAATTTGGAAAGCACCTTAGATTTTTATTAAAGTACAAACATCACCTTATGCAGAAACCAGTAGCCACTCCCCAGGGAGCAGAACCTCGCAGATCTGTGGATGCCTCTGGCAGAAAGCAATTGAAGTGAGCTACCAAGTTCCCTTTCAGCCCCCTGAGAAATAGCTCTGGCTGCAGACACACAAACGCCCTGCAGGTAAAGCGGGGTGTAGAGGTACTGCAGCAGTGAATGTGCTGTGCTTGCTGCCTGCATGCATAATTTCACTCCATAATCAAAGGCAAGAGTTCTGCTATGACCACGTGTATACGGCAAATAGTGCTGCAGTTGCCACAAATTCAAACTGTTATTTGCACATAGACAGATTCCCTCCCAGCCCAAAAAACTTGCTAAGACTGTGCAACCCTGTGAATTTGCCTCCACTTTTGCAAACTAAGTTCTTTGTGTATTTGTTTACAGATAGTCACCTAACAGAATTTTTGGACCTCATAACACACAGAATAAATCCTTTAATGTTAGAGCATTCTCATTTCTTATTTCCAATCTCATAAACCATGCTGAAATTAACACAATCTTTCTTAAAAGCTAGTGACATAATTAAACTTATTTTATGTTTGTTAACATGTACAATTTTGACATTATCTTACAGGTCATTACACTGGGTACTAATAGAGCATTGTTACAATAAAATTCTAAACAAGAAGCTAAAATTAGTTCCTTAATTTGCAGTAATTAATCCAAGAGGATTAAATGTGGCTTTTGCAAGTGTCTAACACAACACAAGTAAGAGCCATGGTGTTTTACAGTCTTTCTACCTTTCTACACAGTCAAAAACTCTTCACACTCAGTTCTAGATGTCTCTTTTCTCCAGGAAAGATGTCAGAGAAGTCTTACCAGAGCCTGAGCCTTTAATTAGCCTTATGTCTGCTTCACTGGTATCAACCCCTGCCAGGGTGCTTGGTAGGAAGGATGAACCTCATTTCCAGTCCCAGCTGCTCTTGCTTCCATCTGCTCCTCTGTGCAGCATAACCTTGCTGTGCTCTCTGCTGTCCTGCCCCAGAGCACACCTGAGCCAAACTCAAGCCTTGACACTTAAAAGGCTGAGGCTGAGCCCCTCCACCCTACACAGGACTGTGCTTTACCCACTCATGGAGGGTGGAAGAATCACCTTTTTTCTCTCCTACATCACCTGTTGCACAAGGTGATGCAGATATGTCTGTGCTGTGGATGAGAACCCTGCTCAAGTGCACATATCTGTGTCTCTTCTGTACTTGGCTGGAAAAGCTGGGCCCAGTGCTTATGATACAAAGGCAATCCACTGGCTGAAGGCAGGGTTGCTACCAGAGCTGACAAGTTTAACTAACCTGGATATCTGCACATCCCTCTAGAAAAAGCCCAGGCAACTCCCTGCCTGTAAAGTAACTGCCCAGGGGCTCCATCTTCTCATGGCCCCCCATGCTGAAAGGCCACTTTGGCCCAGCCTTCTCAAGTGCTTTGTAACACAGACTATGCTTAGTCTTCCTTTGGACTTGGGAGATGAACACACAGAATTACACAAAGTAGAGAGATAAGCAAATGTAACCAGGCAACACAGGGTATGAGAAAAGCCAGATCACCTCTGCCTTTCCCCCCTCCCTGTCCAGCCAGCCTTCTGGGGGCAGGTGTCCCTTTTTGCTCAAGACTGACCGGTTTCCAAAATGCTTTCAGTTTCTTCTAAGTGCCTAAAAACTTAGTTAACCCAAACTCCACTAAAGCTCAAAGTATTGTTGCACATTTTTTACTTCTTTCATCAGACAGAGACTGCCTTTCCAGTTCTCAAAATTTGATAAGAAGTCAGAGATTCTCTTCTAAGAGTAAATTGCAATCAATGAATTTTTACATGTGCCAATTATTAAACTATTCTCCTTTGACATCTCATGTACTGTAAATTCCACAAAAGATCATGCAAAAGAAAATTCAGAACATTTCCAATGAAAAATGCTTGTGAATACTAAATCACATTAATGAAATAGGAAGAAAAGGTGTTTTTCAGGGAGGTAATAGTGCCTTCAAACACTTGGAAACTGATGATTATAGTCTATGATTATATGGCTATGCAGCAGCTCAGGCAGCTGCAAAACTAGTGGAAAAGAAAGCAGCTGTAGGAAGTTAAGTGTCTGCACTTGGACAATTCCCACTTTGATAAATGGAGTATGTGGTCCTTTTGCATGGGACAAAGTCAAGACTATTATAGGACAGTGCTCTACATAACCATTCCCAATGCTCTGATGCGACAGCCATGTATGCCGCTGTTAACAGATTTGAGTAAAGAAGCTTCTCAAGTTCTTTTGGTAATTTCATGCAGTTCCACATCTCCTGCATCCCTGACTCTGTTGACAGCTACAGCCCATACAAATAAGGGACCACTAAGTGTTATTTTTCACACTTCCCAAAGCAAAGGATGCAATTTGTGATACCACAAACTTGACACACAGGATAGGAAGCTCCTCTTCACATAGCCCATAGAACTGAACCATGGCATTCTGTGCTGCATCATGTTGGTGATCAGGAGCACAAGGTGAAACAAATCCCTTCATGGATCTCACATCTGTGAGTGGTTAATAAACTATACAAATGGTTCCATACAGACTATAAAGGAAGGGCAAGAAGGAAAGGATTTTTATACTCTTACCCTCTTCCTGTATTTTCTCCATGTCAAATCAAAGACTCTGGGCTTAAGCAACTAGTTGCCTTCTTGATAAAACTGGAGCAAAAAAATCTGTCCTTCTGTACTACTGTGAGACTGAAAGCAAGAAGTATTTACAAAGCATTGAAACTTAACCCAAGAGTCACTGTGGAGCCAGCACTGCACAGTGCACCCCACAGGCACCCACAGCATTTCACTCTCTTCTCCAGTGCTGTGATGCCAGCACGCAGCCCTGTAAACAGATCAGTCATTTAAACCTAAACAGCACAGGGACTAAGAGGTAGAGTTAATGGCAGCCTCACACTTGGGCAACTCAACTCCATCTCCTCTAAGTAGCAAAAAAATCTGTTCTATTGGTAATCTAGAAAAAGGCAGGTAAATAATAGCACCAATCATAGATTTGCCTCTCCCTGTTCCTGAAAGCAACATAGAGTCTCCTGCAGACACTGCAGGATGCACAGCACAGCTTAGTTGTAGACACTGATGTTAACGTATGAACACAAGTGAAGCTGAGGCCTTAACGCAGCCCTAGAGAAGAGACCCTCACCAGAGAGGCAAAGCAAACCCCACACAGCTATGTGAATACAGAAAATACTGGTTTTATCAGATGGCATGAGTTTGGGTTAGGTTATAAGCATCAGCATGAGGAACAGAACTGCTTGGCCAGTTTGGAGATGTTGATCGGTCTGCTTGAGGACAGGAACGCGGAGGTGGGGGAACCCCTCTGCAGAGGACTGGCAAAAGACAGTGAAAATGAGCATGTGGGAGAAGCAGTTTAGCAGAGAACAGCAGCAACCTTCTACAAGGCCTAAAAGGCATCAGATCTCTCAGTGTCAACATGGAAAGCACAAATAATTTGCCAAAGGCCCTAACACTGACCTGGGTATTGCAACGACAGGCCTGAAACACCTCACTGAAAATCAAGCTTGTGAATTTACAGGGAGCAATGATGCCCTTCCAGGGCTGGGGATGCTGCCAAGCCACTGCCACATTCAAGCACCAGGCACAGTTCTGAGGAGCTCTGTACTGTTGCCAAGACAGTCCGTAATTTCACAGCTTTTTCCTCGCACTACCACAAAAAGCCATTTATATTAGGCAGCTCAGTCATCCACTAAACTTACAGAGCTACAGCAGCATACAAGTGGTAATTCCCCCATCAGTTCCAATCTCCAGGGCTAAACCAGGAGAGAGTTTAACTCTGCAATGGCTCGGATGTTAACAAAACATACAAGCTCATTCAAAACAGCCTGGGAGGTATTAAATGTTTTATCCAATTTTGTTGTTGTTGTTAATAGAGCTAGAGGCAGTATTCTGCTCAGAGAGTAGCTGTAATCAAAAAAGCAAATGTGTTGGATGGCACATAGAACAAATGATGAATAAAACAGGAGTAATCTAGGGGAAGGAATTAAAAAATAAATAGTGCAAGTAGCTCTGGAAGAACTGGAGAGGTTGGACTAATGAGAAACCACAGTGGGCAAGACAGATGGAGCACCTCCAGACCTGAGAACTTCCCTGAGAACAGGAAACACAGTTTGAAAACTTGGGTTCTCACTGTCATCAATGGCAAAGCCGAGGGACACATTCTTATACCCATGGTAGCAATGATGGGTAACACTTGGAGCTCTGCAGGCTATTTCTGGTCTAGAAATGGCTATTGCACATTTCACTTCTGTAACTCCTGAGGACATCCAGCTGGGAGACAGATTATCTCCTATCATTCTAGGCTAATCTTAGTACACCATGCCCAGTCCAGCAGGACACATGTACAGGCAGTAAGTTAAGAACCATCAACATAATCAATGATGTAATGTTACCAGATCTGCAGGTCCAGGGTAACTTGTCTTCTATCAATTTCTTTGGTGTAGGCTTTTATTCCATTAATTCTAGGGCACTGAAATAGACACAAACAAGATACAACATAGTCAACATCTATCAAGCTAAGCACAAGTGAAAAGTCCTATTCACTTTGATGAATTTGAATACAGAAGGATTAATTAAATACTTTGCCAAACTGCATGTAAAATGTGAGTATACAACACTATTTTTTTTTCTTTAAAGACAGAACGGCCTTGGCAATCCTCAAACACAGGGCTAGTTGCAAGTAGCCTTAGGCCATCCTGCAAGCCTTAGAGAGCACTGAAAATTTCTGTTGCAAGGGTAAAACATAAATAAATATGGATATGCTCCTTTTTTTCTATCTGCAGTCCCAGGATACTGACAGCAAGTGGAAAGAGATGTGTGTTTTTCCTGTATGATCCTTCCTTCATGGTGAAGATGCTGATGTCAACATGAGGAGGGAGCAAAGCTGTTACAGAGATGAACATCTCACTCCCCTTGCACCTGAACTTTCCAGAAAAGAGTGAACCACAAGCATTACAAGAGATTCCCACTACCTTCTCGCCGAAGTGGATCTTGGTAAAGGTGCATGTTTTCAGATGTACATGCTTTGCTCTGATTTTTGGTTCAAGAACTTCTTTAAATGTTTTTTCCGTGATTGTTCCAAAGTATGGCCAAGCCTGTACAAGCACCTAAAGAACAGCGAAAGCAGGAACACACTGAAGATTCTTTGAGTAAGACACCTTTTGCTGAGAAACAGACACACCCATTAGAGAACCCTGGATATTAATATCTGTCCTTTTAAAACACCAAATCAACTTTCTGCACTTAAGTCATCCTTATGGAAGGTTCCATCCCTGTTTCTCAGAATTGGAATTGTTTCAGGAACTGAAGGGTGAGTTTTCAGCACCATAGAGGCTGCTTCTAACCACAGGAGCCAACAAAGCCCACGGTTAAATTTCTATAATACTATGGTCCCTAATTACTCTAAAGTGTCACAATGTTCCCTGGAATTAGGTTTATTTAGAGAGGATTGAGATGAGCTTTTATATAAAAAGAATATTTGCTAAAAAAAACACCAAAAAAGAAGATAGTCACTGGATGCTAATTTGCAAGCTCTGCTGTTTTGTTTTGAGAGGTTGACCACACCTGCTAATGGAAGCATTTGCCTCAGTGCTCCCTGGGAACCTTTCTGGTAGGAGGAGCCACCACTAAGTTTGCTAAAATAATATCAATACCATACACATGTATGTATCCATATATGCAGACAAACACCTGCCTTTTCTTTTTAGTCTCAGAATGAAGTGTTATTGAATTTATCAAACTTGTATCAACCAGGCTCACATTGGCTCTCAACCTCAGTAGCAATCCCACACTTAAGTGACTCCATACTTCAGTACAGACACTGATACAATCAAACTACACTCTAATACTTTGATAGCTTTCTCAGAGATGTCCCACAGAATTTGGATGGGAGGGATGCAGCTCAGAGCAGGTGGCCTCACCAGCTGGAGTTCAGAGCTCTTCACCTTGTTCAGCCACTCCACTCATTCAACATCAGGGAAGTGAACCTGGATGCAAAGAAAAATAAACTGGGTGCAACGTGCCATCTGTTTGAGCACACTGCCACACATGCAAAAGACAGCATGGAGTGTGGAACAATTGTCAGAGTAAGCTGAGATCCCTCTGCCTTCACATACATTCTTTATAATTTACTACCTCCTTGAAAAATTGTAAAATGCAAAGAAGCCAGTAAAGAATAGTAAAAGGCAAAAACCCCACGTGCACTGATGTATCAGTATGCCTCTGGGCACATTTACATGACTAAAGCAAGTGTCACATCCTGTTCATGATGTAAAGCAGCATTCGATTTCTCATCCTTCTCTTTGTCATGCCTTGGGAAGCCACGAGAACCTACTTCCCTTAAGATCTTGAGCTGTGCAGGACCTGTTTCCTGGATTCACTCACCTGAACCAGGACACCCCACTTTGGAAAACAACCACCCACTTGGGAAACTCAATTTATTGGTTGTGGCAGCATTTCTCCACTAATATCAACATGGTGCCAATGGTTTCAGGGAAAAGAAGCCCTGTGTTCAAGCCTATTAGCATACACTATCACATGTAACACTCCAGTGTTTTCACCTCTCAGATCTTTTTAAGATGGTAGGGAGAAATTAAAATGAAATGGTCACTTACACATCATGTTTTCAAGTTGAACACACCAAATGCCAACAAGAAGTGTTGACTTGCCTAATCACCATCAGGACAACTGGGTATGAGACCACCCTCAAGTAACTGATCTCTCAGACCCCAACAAGAAGCTGCTGAGTGAAGAGTTACAACCACCTTACTACAATCACACATTAAAGCCTTATGGATGTGGTATTTGCAGCTGGTGTTACAAACTGCTAGCAGGTTACTGCAGAAAGGAAGGATACTGCAGCAGCTTCTCAGAATAGCCATTAGAGCACCTGAATACAAAGGGAATCTGACTATCATCTAGCCTGATAATAGTTATTGGGTAGGACAATACCTCCTCTTACAAGAGCTGTGAATTACACTTTTCAGGCAAAGCCTTACTGTCCATCAGCTTTCAGAGAGGCACTCAGAGACGTTTGGATGGAATGGACACGTTTTTTAATGGAATGTTTTTTAATACAGCTTCATATATGATTGAAAAGCCCATTTTCCTTGCTCACATAATGCTTTAAATGAGCTCATTAAAAAGCCCAAAGTAATATTACCATTTTCTTTATAAGAAAATTCTTTTGATACTCTAAATAGCAACTTTTCCATTAAAACAGACAATAGAAGTCCACTGAAATGCCAGCCTTCACATGATGAAGTGAGAACTCAGCACCAGAAGGGGCAATCAACACAAACTGCTGCTGACATTTTGCTGTGAGGCAGACTGTGTGAATCAGGGGACCTCCACCTGCCAGCCTTTCATCTTCCACCATCTAAAGGTTCTCCATCAGGTCACATAAATCCTGGGTTCTCAGCTCCAATGTAATTGCCAAGCACCAACATCCTGCAGCACTTGGGTCACACCCTGGGATAAGATGTAGGAAGGATAGAGCAGAGGTGGAAGCAGCATGCTGAGCTTGTTCTTCAGAGCACCTTACAGACAGGAGAGGGATGTGACCCAAAAGAAAGGACAGGACAACAGTTACGCTACCCCTTCCTAGTGAGAAAGTCACAGCCCATATGTGCAGGGGAGAAATGTGGGGCATTATAAACCATTAAAGTTGTCTGGGATTATTCACTAGAGGCAAGGCTCCTAGAGACTTGAAACAGCACAAAGAGGAATTAGGAAAGAGGCAAAAACCAGGATAATGAGGCTGGACCCACCTTAAGAAAAAGTAAAATTGAATTTATTATTTGTGCCCAAACCACCAACAGCCCCCAGCAAACCCCCAAAGCAACTGCAATGAATCACACCACACTGTGTCACACCTCAGATGCTGTGATAGCAGACATTTGTACACAAATGTACAGGTACATTTCCACCCCACTTGACATCCCCTCATTCAGGTGTCTGCAACGCAGCTCCCACGCTGGCACTTGGTGCCTTAGTTTCCTCTGACAGATGGAAGGAACGGCACTGCTGGAGCTCAAAGGCTGGGACCAAAGACCGCCAGGGGCTCCTGGGCTGACACTAAATGGGCTCTTCTTGCAGAGAACACCACCAAAACTGGCTGATGACATGACTGGTGAAAACCAGCTTTCTGCCCTTTATGACAGGCCACCAAATTTCAGTGGGTTCTCAATACCAAAGTTCAGTTCTACTCAATGGTATGAACCAAATGAGCAGTTCTGTGAGGAAGCAGAGCTTCGTATCCAGGTGTTGCAACTGCATTATCCACTGAGTAGTAAGAGAGAAGATCTTACTTCTAGCAAGTCCTTTCCTACCCGCATGTCACATGGCTAGTTCAGCCCAGTGACACCACCAAGCTCTCTTCTTGACTCAACCATTTATTCCAAGAATTTAACGTAGTCTAATATGTTTTGAAAATAAAACCATCTGTAGTTCCATACTTCTGAACCATGTGCTCTGGACTTCAGACTTACTTCTGGCCCTTGCTACTGGTGGGAGCCCTGCCAGCAAGGTCTTGCCCCGAGTTTGTCATCAGTACAGCACAGGTAGGAGGAGCCCAAAACACTTCCTACTAAGCCCAGAACCAAGACACCAAGAGCTGCCAAAGTTAATACTAACACAGAGTAAGACTTAATCCCTAGCCTTGGGCAAGTCACACTATCAGAATCAGTTTTACCCATCTACAAGAACAGGCATACTTCTTTGCCAAAGTTTAAGGAATGCAGTAAAAATTACTTATCATTTGAAATGAGCTTTGAAGATCAAAAACACTAGGTAAGGGGCAATTACTAGCAAGTAAAGAAAATGTGTAAGCTGTGCATGACTCCACCTTGCCCTGGAGCAAACCACAGCAAGGATCACAGCAACAACAAAACCCATGTCTGACACAACAGCACCATTCTGTTCAAATACAACACAGCAATCTACCCATCAGGGTTTGGTTTGGTTTTTTCCTTGTTTGTTTGGTTCTTTTGGGTTTTATTGGGGAGTTTGGTGTTTTGTTTGTTTCTTTTTACAAAAAGCCAGGATTTTTAGCTATTGATACAGGAGGAAAAAAAGAAGTATAAACAAGGCTTTTCCATGAACAAGGACTTAAAAGGCAACATTTTAAAAGGACAGTTCTGTACCCAGTAGTATTTTGCCTGGTAAAAGGAGTTTAATATCAGGAAGAAACACAGCACACTTGGATTCTGCCATGTGCAGCCAGATAACCACTGGCAAAAGCAATATAGAGCAGTCACCACAACCCCAGGTGCTGGAATGAAGGTGGAAGCCTGGCTACCTCTGCTCTGAGCATGGCCTGCTTGTACAGAAGTTATGCTAAAGGCTGCAAAGGCTGAAGCCAGAAGGTCTCAACTCTCCAAGCCATGGATCTGACCGTGCCTGCCATGAGCAGATTTCCAGCCTGGTTCCCTGAGGAAGCACAGCCTGCCCACGTACGCTGTCTAGCACAGGAACGTGTCTATTCCCAACTCACTGACTGGTTTCAGCCAAGAAACTGGTGCTGCAAAACAATCCTGCAAATACACCAAAACAGATGGTTAAGTAGATTAGGGAAACTCTCCCAGCATCCCCCCTAAAGGAAAGGCTGCATTCTGTATATCTCCTAACAACTGATACCAGGACTGAGCAGAACCTGAGCCAATTTAAAGAAGCCAATTCCTAGGGAGAACAATTTTTAACCAACAGCAAAATCTATGATTGCTCTTAACTTTTCACTAGATGGATCCCCCCTCATTTTATTACAGACCACATGAAGACACGAAGATTTATGAATCCCAAGACACTGCAATCATTTCACACCTTCAGAACCTGTCCTAAGATTACAACACTGCAAATCCAAGCCATGCTCCCCTTGAACTGTATTCCTACTGCCACCTCTGTGTGACAGGAGAGAAGAACTCAGTGGATAGTTTTAGAGCTCCCAACTGAAGGTCTATAAACACTGAAAGGCAAAAACAAAAGATAAAAGATAAAAAAGACAACACCACAGAGAATAAACTGTGCCGGTGCTCTCTTCTCCCCTCTGCTTTCCCTTGCCCCGGCTAGCCCTGGGGAGAAGGGGAGCGGGCAGATCTCCAGTGCCTCCCGCTGAACCCTCGCGGGCTTTGGGCTGCGCTGTGTGTGTTCGGAGAGCAGTCAGCGACCTCACGGCGGTTTAATGAAGAGAGTCTTTCTCTGGGGGGCGAGTTCCGTTTATTGCAATCCAATGGGGAAAACAATGATACGAAGGGAACCAGGTGAGCCACACCTGTGTTCGTCGGAGCCGCGCTAGCGGGCGGGGCGGAGCAGCGCGCGCCGGAGCCGGCCAGGAGAGAGCCCCGAGCGGCTTGGGTGGGCAGCGCGCGCTGCTGCCGGCCAGGAGAGAAGCCCGAGGGGTGGCTCGGGCAGGTGGCGCGCTGGTGCCGGCCAGGAGAAAGCACCAGGTGCACTGCGCGCGCGGACTAAGTACGGGACGGGGGGAAACTGGGGCAGCCAATGGGGTAACGCCACGGGGGGTTTGAGGGTAGTGGGGTACGGGGGTACATCCAATGAAGGACGGACAGGTGGAGGGTCCCAGGTCGTCTGCCTATCGCCCAGCGTCCCGGGTGGAAGATTCCAGGTGGGGGGGAGAGATACTGAGTGACAGACAGGCATTTGGGGTAAACACAGTGACTTGGCATTTCTTGGGAACAACAGACCAGCAGGGAGAGACGGGAAAACCCGGGGGGAATCGTTACAGGACCGGGGGTACATGGAATAAACTTATACATAATACAAATGTAATAGAACGTAAGAAACACAACTCTATATCTCCCTATTTTTTGTTTAAAAAGAAAAGAACGGAAAATAACTTAAATAAGGGATTCGCAGTCCTGCTCCCTATCGTCGAACCCGATGTCCTCTGGGTGTTCTTCTTGGTCCTTTTCTAGATGTTGGCGTTGAGCACTGTCAGATCTGATGGGGTGGCGAGGACGGCGTGGTTGATATGAATTGTGGAGTTGATGGCCTTTAAATTTTTTAACAACACTAAAACTTATAATAAGAACAATGAGTGCTAACAGCAACACAAGTCCGGTTTCCAAAATGGATTGGATCTAACCCGTGAGACCTCATCCTTCAAAAGCGACCTCAGCCAGTCACTTGCGAGAGGGATGAAGCTTATTGACGCTGACATTGTGGGTTGTACTCTGGGCAAGGTGAATGTCTGAAAAACAACTGGAATGTTAATTAGCGCTCTAGGGAGGGGAGATCTAAATCAAAAGGGAAGAGCGAGTCTAGGGAACTGGATGAGGAAAGGGAAAGCTCTGAGAGAGAAAGTGTTGAACTGGAAAGGAAAGGGGGAGACTTTCTCCGTCTGTGAAGGGCTGCATGCCTCACCTGAGGACCTTCTTTCTTGTTGGTCTGTGTAGTAGATAGGGACAGGCGAACGGAAGATCCCGGGATGTGACGGAAAGAAAGACCCTTCCCCCTTCACCCTGCAACACGTTATCTACCACCCCCAGAACATGTAACCACACCTAACCCAGTAGTTTTCCACTCCTGACTAACCCTAGAGACCCTACCAACCCCCCCTGACGTAGCAAAGTCCCCCAAGACTATTTAAACCCATGAGATAAGATAATAAACGCTTTTGACCGTCCACCACATTGGTGTCAGCGTGTGTCGTTAGCCCGAGTAGCCCGGATTAGGCTCGGCTGCTGTGCTGCTCCTTGCGAACTAGGTCGCCGTTACCTCCCCTGAAGGCAACACTTCCCTTTTTCAGTCACTTGAAAATCCATCTCTGCCTGTGGGATCATGTTGTCAGTCCTTAAACTTATTTCATTTTTACTCTGTACAGCCCCAAATTTCTCATGGAACTATTGCAAACTATGGAATAATGTGAGAATCTTCTTTCAGTTACATAGGGGACTGTGAGATTCATATGGACATATCGAAATTTAATCTTGGCGTGAAAGGTGTACAGGTGCGTGCATTGTCTGTTCCAGGCTGTGTGGGGCAGGAGGTAGCACCTCCCAGTGGGAAGGTCATGACACTTAATTGGGAAACAACAACTATCAGGCTTGGAATGATTGGCTTTATCTCCTTGTTCTTGGCTGGGGAAATGAGACCTTCCATGGAAAGCACTTAAATGCCACTTTTAAGCTTCATAGAGTGACTCTTAAACAGGGTCAGTGCTGGAGCATTGAGTATGTGTGGGCCAGCAGCTGCCACTGGAGATCAGAGAAGCACACAGTGTTGGCAGAGAGCTTCAGAAGAACCATGATGTTCATAAATTGGACCAAGAGCCTGTTCTTGGAATGTTGAAAGCTAATAGACAAATGGCTCCATTGTGTGGCAGGATTGCAGAGAGACTCCACAAACACAGAAAGCATTGCATGATATCAGTAGCAATGGTTTGGGGGGAAAAGATTTTTGTTATAAAATTATAAATAAAATTACTTCAAGTAGAATTTCTAAAAAACTCACAGTTTTGAAGCTGCATCATGAGAATACCTTAACCCTGAACTTTCCCATTCTGTTTGCAGTTGTATGGGACATTGTGGGTGATCCTGGAACCTCTCCTATCCGACACACCTTTTGTTGGAGCAGTGACCTTGTTTTTCATGCAGAAACCAGTGAGTCAGGAGTGAGCTGCTCTCTGCAGACTTCTTTGTCTTTAGTGAGTGACACAGGCTGCATGACTGTGAATACCTCACAGTTCAGGTGCTTAAATGACAAATTCCTAATTGTTCAGTGTCCCTCTTAAATTCCAGGAGGATGTGAATTAATTCACTCTATACTTTTGTAGTAGTGCCTAGTTACTTGCTTCACTCTAAGAACGGGAGCTGTTTCTCCAAGGTTTCTGGCTGCTCTACCTTCCCATTCACAGATTTTAAATGAAGTCATTTTGGAGACCATTCATGTTGCCTTTTTGAAAGCTTGCCTGTTTAAGGTCATGTGCCTCGTACTCAATTGTGGTTTAATAAAATATGAGAAACCTTCTAGTCTTGTAAGAAGCCGTTATCTTACAGCACACAGCTTTGCTTGTGGTTTATGCTCTGCTTGAGTTCATGAAATTCATACATTTTTGATCTTGAATGAGGTGATTTTGTGTTTAGATGTAGCAGCATTATTTTAGCACATGAAAGAGCCTCTTTTTGTTTATTGCACAAATAGGAATACAGACTCCTGAAACTGGTGGTATTTGTAATTCTCTCTGCCTCAGGGCATAGGCCAACCCCTAAAGTGAAAGGATGAGAAAACTTCACAGTCTTACTAGAGTTGCTGAATTTCCTTCATGATCCCAGGGCATCTGCCAGTGGCCATTGCTAAGGGCTGAATCCTGACTTTCTTTCTTGCAGGTTAGGTTCCAGTGATAGCCTTAATTCAGGATGGCAGATAAAATAGATAAGGGAATGCCTTAGCGCTCTCTCTTGTCCCCCTTTTCGTCCCAGCTAGCTCTGTGAGGGGGGGGGGAGCGCTGGCAACTTCCGTGTTTTCCGGCGAACCCTCGCGGGTATCTGCCGGTGCTGCGTGGGTCTGGGAGCGAGGCGAGTCCCGAGGCGAATAAAAGGAGAGAGACTTTTTCCCCCGCGGGCGATATCTTGGTTTATTACGGCTTGGTTGGGGAGGCAAAAACCGAGGAGGCTGCTGCGCGCTAAGTTCGAGTTTGTCCGTGCCGCCTGGCCGATTCGGGGGCGGGGCAGTGCGCTCCGAGGCTGGCCGCGATCCAAGAGAGGTTGCGTGCAGAGCCGCGGCGCTGCTGCCAGCACGTGCAGGAGCCGCGGCGACCGCAGCAGCGGCGGCGGTTCAGCTGAGGCAGTCAGGGGCCGGGCGAGAGAGAGAGCCGCGGCGGCACGCAGGGATCCGGCGGGAGAAGAGGCGGCGGGCCGGGCAGCAGCAGCGAACAGGGGGGAGAAAAAGCACCGGGGCGTCCCCAACCCGTTCTATAAATACTCGAGAGGGGAAACCCGGGGTGGCCAATGAGATAACGCCACGGGGGGACTTGGGGATAGTGGGGTGCAGGGGTCCAATGGGAGATGGACAGATGGAAGGATGCCAGGTCGCCTTTCGACCCTGCCGCGTGGCTGACAGATGGTCTGAGAGACGTAAACAGAATGACTCGGCACTTCCTTGGGAAGGCAGACCGCGGGGGAAAATGGGAGAACCCGGGAGGTCGTTACAGAGCGCGGGGGGATACATGGAATGACCTTATACATAATAGAACATATAATAACACAATTCCACAAGGGAATTTATGCCAGCTGTTGGTTATAACATACAGATGCAATTGGTGGTGTAGGATTTCCTTCCTTTGGACATTTGGTTTTGTTCTAGAAGCCTTACCCTTTTAAAGTCTAAATTTATTTTGAAATAAATTTTAATAAACCCGTATAATATTTTCTCCCTGGTCTTGTTGTAGCATTTGGAAATCAACTGGGCAGGCATGAGCAACCTTCTGGATGTCCCAGGGATTAAGTGAGTGTCTACTTTGCTTTACTTTATTATTTGAAAACCTCTGGAAGCTGGGATGTAGTTCTTGAGTAACCATCAAAGCTGTTGTTGAGAGCATTGTGTGCAAGTTGTTGTGCAGATTGTTCATCCCATTGTATCTGGCTGTGGCAAAACCTGAGAAGCGTTCTTTTTACATTCTGTCAAATCTGTTTCAATCGCTTCGTTACATTTTGGATGGATATAGTAAATCCCACAAATAGCAATTACTTAGAAACTAAAAAACAAGCCCTTATGTTTCCCATGTGCCAGTTATTTGCAAAGGTAGATGAAGTAGGTTTAGAAATGGCAGTCTGCTTGTTTTTATTTACAGTAAAGTGTAAAAAGGCAAGGTATAACAGAGTTGCAGCCCCCCTGACAAACTCAAGTATAGTCCATGATAAAGAGAACTTCACCAGATTTATAAAGAGAAAAGTTCTCTTTCTATGTAATCTGCTCACCTTTTAGGTGTAGCTCTTCTCTACTGTCTCTTGAGTTAGTACTACATACATAAAATTTGCACAGTGAGGATGAAAATCTTATTAGGTTTCAGTATTGTTTCAAACTGTTTTACCAGACTGGGGATTCAGTTTGTCCTTGTTCTTTTGTGTAAGGAAAAAATTCTGTTGCACAAGAGGAAAATACATGGGGTTACACAGCCATTGCCTTTCTCCCTTTCACTGCAAATGCAGACACTTCTGTTCCTCTCTGCTCCCCTGTAGCTCATGGTTTGCAGACTCATAAGAAGAGCCTGGCTACTTTAGGTGCCAGTTTATGTATTAAAGATCCTCTGAAGGCCTTTGATGTTGAATGAGAGGAAGCTTCCTTTTTCTCTTAGTTTGAGGCCTGAGTGGCCTTTTGCCTTGCAGTTTAGCCTGAGAGCTCCAGTTTTTATCAGAGTGATTAATCTGTTCTTTTCTAACTTGGTTTCCCTAATCCTTGCAGGGAGAAGTCTTGTAGGTATTCCAGCCTACAGCCTCTCATATAATTAAGTGCAAATTTGGTGTCCTAAATTTTTACTGCCTGCTTCTCCACAGGGATTTGCACACAGAAACCTTTGCTAGTTCCTCAGCAGTGCAATGAAAGCTGGGAGCAAAGCATGCCTGACCATGATTGGGCTGAAGTACAGGTTGAACAAGAGCCCTCCCTGTCAAATGAATTTGGCTCACTTAAGATAGCAAAGAAACTGGATGCAGTCAACTGTCCTCACATACAAACTGTGTTTAGCTGGTGTATCCTAAGACTTGAGAGATGGGACAATTCTGTGACATTCCTGTGGGTTTGTTTTTTGGTTTTTTTTTACAGGAAAACCAAGAGCCTGACCAATGTTCCTGGTTTGCCATTTGGAGTAGAAGACTTTCCTTATGTTCTTTATTTGTGAATCCAGCCTCCTCTGTGAATTGGGACAATTTTGTTCCACAGTCATACCCTTTTAAGTACTAGCTCTAGCAAGAGAACAAGTCTTTCAGATAATTGGTGCTCTTGCGTTTTCCTCTTAATATTGTTTTTTGCTCATGCCAGGTTGTAGTGATGTGTTAAAATCCTCTCATTAATCACCTGGAGAGTACTTGAGAGGACATCTGTGATATACAAAAAGAGCAGCTGTAAAGCAAAGATTTAAACTGAAAAGCTAAAAATGAGCAAGTTGTAATTAGCCTGGAAAGTTCCTTGAACTCCAAAATAGTGCCTTCAATTCAGCCGATGTGATCTCCAGGTACTTCAAACAAAATTTTCCTTCTTAATGCAAATTCCGCCAAGATCCAGAACCCCATCTGAGAAATTAGCTTGGCCTTTTTTTTTTTTTTTTTTGAATCGTGTCTATCTGCTTCAATTTTGTGAAAAGGCCTCAATAGGTGGCCAAGAGTAGGCAGCAATGTCTGCTGTGGCCATTTCTAAGTCTAAAAACAAACTAGCTCAAGGCCTTGAGCCCCCTGTAAAATGCTGAAACTCCCAGATTCCCCTCTCTCCGTGTCCATCTCTGGTGTCATTCCTAAGGAAACCCAGAAGGAAGGCACTTGAGTTTGACACGTTTGGGTGTGTGCATAAAGATTTCACACAGCCTAAGCTCCCATTCATCGTTTACAATGATGAGCCAAACTCACACCGTGCAACAGGGATGCTCCATATTGCAAACCTGCACCACTGAATTGAAGTTGAATGGCCACTCTGCAGCTCTTTCATACAGTCATAAACTTTGGAAAAGATCTTTATAGATCACCTAGTCCAACCATTAAGCTAACACTGCCAAGCCCATCACTAAGCTGTGTGCCTAAGCACTTTTACAGGTCTTTTCAATGCTTCCAGGGATGGTGACTCCACCATTTCCCTGGGTGTCCGGTTCTAATGCTTGACAATACTTTGGGGGGAGCTAGGCCACACCACTCACTTTGCAATGTCCATTTCTTCTGCTGTCCCTCACTTTTCCATTCTAAGTTGTGACTGATTGTGGAGATTGAGGTTGCCTTTTTTTCCCACCTGCAGTGTAGTGTCAGACTCACTAATTCAAGACTTCATTGCTGCACGGCTGGTTCTACCCAACAGGATCACAGTGCCTCTAAAAAAGAACATGAACATTGCCCACTTGAGGTTCCCTGTCCCCCACGTGAGTTGTTTTTTCAGTGACATGGTGTTTATCTACCTGAGTGTGCAGCTGCCACCATGTGGGTGCATCCCTTAGTGTCTTTGGATGCTGCATCAGCTCTTTCAACCTGAATTGTGGGCTTTCAGTAGGTAGTATTTCAGAAATATAAAAGCAGTGTTGGATAGTTCATAATTTGGGAGGGAGAGACACAGGCAGTGGGAGTTCCTACCTTCTCTACATGTCCTTTGTACTCAGAGCTCATTTACCAATTAAACCTTTAGTCTGTAACTGCAGATCTGTGGTACATGCAAATGAGAGGATAAATACATAAGCAGTGAGTGTCATGCTATTTAATATTTTTACTAATGCTGTGAAGAGGTGTAAATAAGGAACTTGAAGGATGACATATCTTTGCTACAGTAAAAAAATTTCCTAAATACTCAACATGTCCAGGTTTTCAATCTCCTTCATCCATCAAATACCTAATGCACTTACTAATGAGGATAAATATAAATGAGTGACAAAGGCCTGTTCCCTGTTGCAAACTTGCATCACTAAAGTGAAGTGGAATGGCTCCTGTGTAATAAAATAAGAACCTTCCAGTGAGTGCTTAATTCCTCCTTCAGTTGATCTTTACACTTGATTTGACTGTGGCTGTAATGCTGTGTGCAAATGTATATTTCTGATTTAAAAATAAATCCAATAATATTTCCTATACAGTTATCTAGATTGAATTTTACATCTCTTTAAGGGGGCTTTTTTTCCCCTCTAGGCAAATGCTGGAAAAAGTGCTTTATTACAACTGTCATTGGAAATGTACTGAATCAAACAATGTGCCTTTGCAGAACTGTCATGGTGACTACCCTTGCTGCCTGAAATAAACAGTTTTAGGAAGTAGCATATTATAATTATCCAAAGACTGCATTTTCATGACCAATTCTGTATCTTATTTCATCCAGGGAGTAATAAGGGTTCATCTGTTAGAAGCTGAAAACCTTGTCCAGAAAGACAATTTCCTTGGTGCCATCAGGGGGAAAGTCTGACCCGTACTCTCTCCTCCGCGTTGGCACCGTGCAGTATCAAAGCAAAACAGTCTCCCGAGATCTTAATCCCATTTGGAATGAGACATTTGAGGTACTGAACCTTTTGATCTTTCCATCTGTAGGATACACAGCTATTTACATCCCTGTGCTTGCAGGACCTTCTCTTAGCTGATTGCACTGGGGCAAGTGGACTTCCTTGTTTCTTGCTTCAGGCATTTGTGTCCCTTAACCAAGTTCAAATTTACATTGTAAACTTGAAATGTCATTCAGGTTGGTCTGATTTACATGTGTGGGTTTTTGGAGGAGGTGCAAAGCATTGTTTTAAATATCAATCAATGCATCAATCTGTGCAGCTGCAGGCTGCTCTAGCATTGGTTCCTCTCTGCTTATTAGGGATACCAGTTTGAGGGGTTTAACTTGTAGCTCAAAACCAAGCAAACAATGTGAAACATTTTCACCTATAATCGATTGTATTTGTTATGCATTTAACCATAAGAAAGAACAGTGAATGTCCTTAATGTGTTTGACAGTTGTCAAGTGTCATGTTCTTGTCCACAGCCTGAGCCTGAATATGTGTACATGAATGCTTTTTAGTTTTAATGAATACCTCTTTCTCCTCCAGTTTGTTGTTCATGAAGTGCCTGGTCAGGACTTAGAAGTGGATTTGTACGATGAAGATCCAGATAAAGATGACTTTATGGGCAGGTAAATTTGCAAGACCTTTGATCAGGGTCCAGTAGCCTCTGCTGTGGGACACCTGAATTACCCATACTGGAAATTTAATACTGTTGGAAGTGATTCCCTTTGCCCAGGTATTAATACCACATAAGTAGTTCCTAGTGCAGCTAATGTTGAAAAAGGTTACACTCCTGCAGGGAATCCTGGGAAGCCATTAGAAGTGATAGTTAGTTGAGATTTACTTCAAGTTTATTTTGGTTTTGGAAATATTTCAAGGGGGAGACTTCAGGAGTCTAAGTGTGTTCCTGCACACCCATACAGAGGTAATGTGGAGAAGCTGTTATTTGGAACAGACTTGAGAGTGGGCTTTTTTTGGTGGTTTATGCTGTATACCTCAATATTGAAATGTTTGCTTTTTTTCATTTCAGCTTGCTGATAAGCCTAGTGGATGTAATGAATGACAGAACTGTTGATGAGGTAAAGATCTCAGCTTATTTCTAAATGTGGCTGGTGGTGTATGTCTACATGCACTCATTTGTGCTTCTCCTCTGCTACTACAGTGTTTCTTTGTACTTAAAGATTCCTTGCACACTTGCACTGTGGTATTTTCACAAAAAGATAATACTAATGTAGTCACTACAAAAATTTTTACAACCAGGCTAGTAACCCCAGAGAGCCCTGAGATTATACTGAACCAGAAGTGGGGTATCTTGTTGACACTTTGTGTCCCGTGTGTACCAAATGTTTTGTACAAAGCTGCAGATAAAGTTTGGTGAAGCCTGTTTGCTGAGGGAAGAAATGATCTGACCTTACTGTGACTTTCATCCTGCAGCCCAGCACTCTACAAGCAATGCCAGGGTGCCTGTCTGGTGCTGCTACAGGTTGGAAATATCCACATGCTTTACCTGTTTATGGGCATCCTCTAAATTGCATGAAAAAGACAGAGAGCTGCATAATTTTCAGAAGCTGCCCTTGGAATTTTGCTATGCTTTGCATTGTCCTTGGTGGGTGATCATGACTACTTTGTGTTTTGGTTTGTTTTGTCTTTCCCTGCCTTTACAGGATAAGAAGGGTCTGTCTACAGCAATTCTGATTGTCTACTTGGACAGTGCCTTCAACCTTCCTGTAAGTACAATTCCCATGCAGCAGCCTTCACTCCTAACCTCCTTTTTAAAAAAACAACAAATTAATTGTTTTAAATACTCTTTCACCAATTCAGAAAAACCACTTTGAGTATTCAAATGGTGAATGTGGAACAAAGAAGACAAAAAATAACAAGTACCTCAAGGTAAAATTTATATTCTTCTCCTACACTTGCAAAACTAACTTCTGGATTATGTGGTATCATAGGAATTGAAACTGGTGGTGGTTAAAAAGAAATAATCCCTCCACTGTCAGAATCTAAGTGAGCAGGGTTTCAAAATGGTGATTGAAAGCCCACCCCCGTGAAAGTCTAAGAGGCCAAAGTGGGAATGCAACATGGAAATGTTTGCTTGTGAGTGTGTATTTGTCTTTCTTACACAAAAGAGAGCCTCCAGACATCAGACTAAGTCCTAATATCCTTGCTGCTGCTGCTGCTCTTTCTTCCCTTGCTGAGCTGTTCCAGCTTGACGTTGAGCAGGGAGGAAGGAATATGGTCATTTGTTGTACCTTTCCGGTCCACTGGAGACCTGACCAGATTCCTCCCCCCTTGGCTTTAGAGGGATTCAGGGGCCTCTCTGTCATTCATACATTCTCTCTCGCAGCTGCTGTTTACTTCTCCCCCCAAATACTGCATTTGGCTACTATGATGTAAATGGCAGGTATAGGGAAGAATGTCTTTCTCCCTTTTTTCTTGAGCAGGCTACTCACAAGTAAAGCTCTGAGCTATGGATAAAGCTTCCTATTCTCTCCAAGTAGCTCCTCTCTTAAATAGCATCTTTACAATTTATATGAGTTACCAGCACTGTGATATACATCACAATCAATAAGCCTTAATTCTGGACCTCACTGTGTGCACTTTGTATGTAGTGTTGTACTAAGACCAGATTATCAGCCTTAACTTCTATAGCATTAGTGCAAAGAGGTGCAAGAGATTCAGTATTGCTGCTTCCAGACAGGAATTGTTATTTGATGCCAAGGACTCACTTCCAGCTGTTTTGGAGCAAGTTGTGAGCCTTGGAAACCAATTCTGAGAGTCCTAGTTCAGTCAGGAAAGATCAAGATTTCTCACTGAGCCTTCAGCTCTGCTGTCTTCCTCCCAGCTTCTGACAAATTTTTAACTGCTCACCTGTTGAAATCTAAATACATAAAACTTTGGCTTAAATGTGTACTCTTGATGGTGGAGGGTAAGACTGTACTGTGTTATTGCTGGAGGCTTTCCTGTGTGCTACACTCCTCAGAGGTCCCACATCCAGAAAATACTTTCAGCTTTCCAGCTACTTACTTCATGTAAGAGCGGTTTGATATTGCTTCCTGAAAGCTATAAATTTCTTAATGTCTTTTATTGCCTTCTTCTTTCTTCCTTGTATTAAATGACAGAAGATGGAATGAGAACCTTCCTCCTTTGTCCTGCTCACAGTTGGGAACAAGACCCAGAAGAGTAAGGTGAGGCTGTTTAATTCTTCTGCTTTCATTAGATACTTTCCATCTTATGGGTGACCGTCCCCAGGTGTCCCCTAGGAAGGAAAGGACGTCTTGGGAAGTTGATGTGAAGGGCTGTACTCATAGTGATAGCTGCAGAGCCTGGGAGTGGGACCACTGTGTCACCGAGGTGTGGTGGTGGAGGGTGTCTGCTGTACACGTGTAGTTCCATGCCTGTGTCCAAGTTTATGTTGGCCCAGACAATCTAGTTCTATAAATCTCCAGTCCAGCTCATGTTTTTTCAGAGCAGGTTGTCACTTGCATCAATCTGGCTGTTATTCCTTCCTCAGAGTCTTTCCTGGCTCCTATGTATCACAGTTTTACTGTTTTGTTTTGTTTGGTTTCATTTTGTTTTTAAACCCAGACAAGATGGATCTGCATCTCCTCCACTTGCAGTTCCTTTTTCATTATTTAAAAATTACTTTTGCCTCATGAGTATGAGCAACAGCTGAGCTCTGCCCTCCCAGTAGCTGCCATGTTCACCATCCTGCAGCTGGATGTGGATGAGCCCTTTGTTCTTTTGTACTCCCAGCAATAAGAATGAATCCTGATGGCCACACACGAGCATACAGGACTGGCCCCTATTTTACTTTGTTCCTTCCACCTGCTCCACCCAGAAATTGGGTTCTACTTGAATTTTTACCTTTTGTGGCTTTCCTTTTCCCTACCACATTACCTGCCTCTCCTAAGCTAGGTCAGGATTCCAGGTTTTCCCTGCCCCTTTCCACTTGCTGCCAGCACTCATGGCCTGGCATGTACAGCTGGTTTACAGAGCAGGCACAGTCCCCGTGGGTGCTTTCCATGCTCTTTCCTCTTTGAAGTGGGTGGTGCTGAAGCTGTGCCCTCCTACTCTTCCCACAGTTCTACACCCCTGAAACTGCCCCTCCAGCTTTCCTGCCCTTGCCTGTCAGCTCACTGCAGCTTTGGGAGCTAGCTCAGAGTGCTGCAGGCTGGAAGCAGTGCTGTGGCTCTCCCTGGGTGGGAAGGTGGGAGGGAGGGAGGGGTGCCTCGCTGCAGGTGAGGCAGGCTGCTGGTCCAGGCAGCGCTGGTGGGGCCAACTGCACCTCACCAGACTTGTTCTTTGGCATTTCCACGCCCCAAAGGACTTGTTCTGGTTTTGCCAGAGACTTCACTTCCATATGCTTTTGGCCTGGAATTTCCACTCTCTCTATACAGCTGGGGTGTAGCATCACTGAGGATCACCATGGCCCTCTCTGGTGATCAATGTAATGGATTCTTTGCTTGTCAGAGACTAAGCTAACACATGTTCTTGTTGCAGACCTGCAATTTCAGCAAAGATCCCACGTGGGGTCAGGCTTTCACTTTCTTTGTCCACAGTGCTCATTCCTAGTCACTCCACATTGAGGTGAGAGAAAAGCCTTTCCTTTTGAAGAGCAACTGCACATTTATAGGAAGAAACTCTCCTATGGAGCTCAGTGCTGATTGTTTCTGTGTGGGATTGCACATGCTGGGTTCCTCCTACTAAAAGGTGGAATATGTTGCACAGACAATTCTGTATTAGGTGGTGGTGGTTTCTTCCTTTTTGGTATCTACCCTTGTTCTAGCATCATGTAATGTGCTAGCATCTTAGTTCAAAATGTGGGATGTTTCTGTCTGCAAAGTGCAAAGGACATTTCATACAGTTCTAAGTGTAGCAATGACATCAATATCTTGGTGTCAGAAATTGCAGCCTTCATGATTCTCAACCAGAGCCCTACCTCTTCACCTCTGTGTTCTGACTCGTTAAGCAACCCTGTCTCTCATCAGCAGCATTGTAGCCACAGTTAGTTCTGTGGCTGGTCACTTGGATACAGAAAGGAATTGAACTTGGAAGATGTATTGAGGTTAAATAGGCTAAACAAACTATTACCTAAAATACATCTAAAGATTTAGACCAGCTGCCATCTCAGCTGCTTAAGACATTGCCCCCAAAGTGAGCTAGGAAAATCAAGTAAATCTCAGGGCATGATTTTTTCTGCTAAAGCAATTCTTTCTCTGCATAGTTAGAGATGGGATTTTTACTCCAAATGTACTAACTTGTTACACTCCTTAAATAATGGCATCACTCATGTGGATGTAATCATACTGAAACAAATAAGCTAATTTTGGTTTCTATCTGAAATACCTTCTTGCTTTGCTTTTGCATTCCCAGTGGTGCATTTCCCAGTTTGCCAGCTAATAAAAACTTCTGTTTTCTTCTGTCCCCCAGATAAAAGAAAGGAGCGGGACAGTGCCCTGGGAACTTCAGTGGTATGTCTCTCCCACTTACTCAAGGACCCAAACATGACTCTGGATCAGAGATTCCAGCTGGACCTTTCCAGTTCAGACAGCTTCATTAAGATGAAACTTGTATTGCGGGTGAGTTGTTCTTTCCCATATTCACTCGGTTTCCCCTGCAGAAGCATCCATTTGTAGCCAGGCAAAAAAGATGAAAGATGGGCATGAAGAAAGGCAGCTTTGCTTCACAGCAAAGCTTTTTGAGTAGAAAGTAGAAGTGTGACAAGGTATTTAAGTGAAATTAGGAGTGTATGTGGAGTTGAGAGGGTATCCCTGAGGCTTAATAAAACTTAGTGCAGTGCCATGGCTGAAAATTTTCTCATGACAATAAAGAGCTGGATTGAGAAAAACTAAGCTGGGGAAATCAGCACTGATGCTCCGGAGTTGTTTCCTCACCGTTCTCTGGATACTGCTCAGTACAAATACAGTAGGATAAGAGGAGAGAACACCACAGTGAATCCCAGGGGCCCCTTTCATCTCTGATGGCGAGTCCTGCTGTTACAGTTTTGTGGTGAAATTTCCTTCTGGGTGGTAAGGCTGGCATTCACTCTAGTGCTGTGGGAGCAGCACTCACTGTCTTCCCTTGTGATTTTTAGGCACTGAATGTTGAAGAACCTGATCCACAAAGAGTCAAGGCTGGTGTCAATGCCTCCAAGCTAGGTCCCGTGCATGTCACAGAGAAGGCTGGAAACCCGCAGAAGTTTTCCTCTCCACAAGTCTCAAAAGTACCTCCCATGAGCAAAGACTCTGCAACACTTGAATCTCTGCCAAAAAAGGACAGTGGAGAAGATATGTACACTAAAGACAGTTCAGGAGCCCCTGTACCAAGTGAAACTGTGTCTGGCCTTGATGAAGCAGAGGGCAAGCAAAATGCAGAGCATGGCACACCATCAGCATTGCCCAGTGGAGCAGTGGCCATGCCCACACTGCCTGTCCTGCAGGAAATGAGGGTGGCACCCAGTGTCACTTCACTGGGGTCCCTGCATTCTTCCTGCTTTGAATTAAGTAGCAGCAATCTGGACATTCATAAGTAGGTGTTCTTCCAGCTGAATTGTTCTACTCTTGGGAAAGTTTAGGTGTTACTGGTGCATAGAGGTGAATTCAAGGCTGCTAAATCACTTGGGGTGTTGGGTCTCAAGTCACCTTACAAAGAATTGACCTAGGTATTCCAGTCAACAGCAAAGTAAATTACAGGGCACTGTCAGAGCAGGTATAAAAGGGAAAGCATTCACTCTGTGGCTCTCCTAAGAGTGCTGCATGTATTGGCTTTATATTGTTGAAGAGCTTCTCAACATTCATTTAACAACAGGATATTCAAAGTCTGAACATCCCACTTTTGTAATAACCAAAACTCTTGATAGGCACCTGTGGCTGCTTAAAGCTCTGAATATGTTTATCCAACACATTTTAAGACTGATAATGCTGTGAACAAGTTTTTGTGGATAGGTGTGCTTGTATGTGTGTGTCCTTTCCACAGTGCTCAGTGTGAGGCTGCTCTGTCAGGCAGGATAGAGAGAAGGATTTGTCCCTCGTGGGGCACAGTATGGAGCTTGTGGAATCCTTAATCAACTACAAAGATCCACCTCATTTAAGACAGCATCAGAGTAGATATAAACCTGAACATAAAACTTAGCTCTAGCTGCAATTTGGTGAATTGGTGACTGGTAAATTTTCTAGCTCTGAATAGGGCTTAATTTATGTATTTATAGACCATTTTTAAACAATGTTTTGGATTTTGAGCCACTTTAATGACATGCAGAGTGGAATATGAAAAAGGTCCCATTTTGCATATACAGACATTTTTGAGGGAATGTGTGACACACTAACCCGTACTTTGATGCTCCATCTACAGTGGGCCACACAGAGGCTTTTTTGGCAGTGTGTGTTGTGGGATGAAATCAGGTACCTGCAGAGAAGGTAGGGATCGGGCTTCTCTGGAACCTCTGTGATCCAGCTGCTTCCTAGACAGCAAACATTAGGATGCCAGGGAGGAGGATGCTGCCCTGAAAGCTGGTTTTAGTCTGCTTGTGGGCTGCTCAATGGCTGTATTTAAAAGCCTTGTGCAATGTCTTGCAGCGGGACTGAGATGCCTCTGGGGGAGATCCAGCTGACTGTGCATTACGCTTCCATCCCGCAGAGCCTGTCGGGCTGGTCAACGGCTGCAGGTAATGCTCGTGATGGCTCACAGAGGAAAGAGCTCTCTGAGCTCTGCCAGTCACCCAGCAAAGCTGGACCAGAGCCACGTGCAGCAGGAGATGCCTTAGCGCTGGCTGGCTTCCAACTGTGCAGCCTCTCTGTGCCCAGCTCCAGTCAGGGAGAGAACCCAGCGAGTTGTGTTCACTGCAGCAGAGATGCTTCAACTGTCATCCACCCAAAATTTCTTCTGGACACCACTGACAACTGGTGTGTGTCTTGGGGTGTTAGGATAGGCATCATGACAAGGATTGATACCTATGACTGAATACATAATTGTTACTTTAGGAACCCCAGTAAGTGGCTACACCGTCAGGAGTAAAGATTTTAACTAAACAATCCTAAAGTTTTATTTGCTCATGTTCCAGCTCCTGGGATGAATATTTTTGGCCTGTGCAGGGTTGGTCTGATACCAAGAGAGAGAAGTTATTAAAACACACAGTGAGAGAACCTGCCTCACTTGTCTGTTTTTCTTTTAACAGAAACTTGGTACCCTGTTGCCTTTGTAAAGGGCAACTAGCGACCTGGTTCAGGGAACAGCACGGCAGCCTGGTCTCGCCCAGGCTACTCGGGCTAATCAACGCACGCAGATACCAATGTGGCAGACGGTCAAAAAGCCTTTATTATCTCATCTCGTGGGTTTAAATAGTCTTGGGGGTCTTTGCTACGTCAGAGGGGGGTTGTGGGGTCTCTAGGGTTAGTCGGGAGTGGAAAGTTACCAGAGCAGGTGTGGTCACATGCTCCTGGGGTTAATGGATAGCGTGGGGCAGGGAGAGGGGGAAGGGTCTCTCTCTTTCCGTCACATCCCGTGGTCTTCCGTTCGCCTGTCCCTTATCTACCACATGTCCCCTCCCCTTATCATATATAAAATGAGGTAGTCGTAGATATAGGCACTGGAGTGAGGTACAAACTTGTGACTTGTTAAGGAAAGGGTGGTTTGGTAAACCTGAGTAATTTTTTCAAGGCAGGTCTTGAAGGCTTTAGCGACTGACTGTGTTCGCAGTTTTTGGTTTACAGCATTTGTTGGTGGCCTATGAACAGAACGTTTGCCCTTTCCAGACAGGTCTGAACAAATGAGACTAGTTTGTTCAGCAGGCATGGTCTTATGGTAATAGCTAAAAGCAGTATTGCCAGTGGACCTACCAGGGCGGAAATTAAGGTGGTGAGCCAGGGTGATTGATTGAACCAGGATTCAAACCAGCTCTGTTGGGTTTCTCTGTCTCTCTTTCTCTGAGCCAGTCTGTCTCGGAGTTCTGCCATGGAGTCTTTAACGACTCCCGTATGATCTGCGTAGAAGCAGCACTCCTCTTTCAGGGCTGCACACAGTCCTCCCTGCTGCATGAACAACAGGTCCAGTCCCCGCCTATTTTGTAAGACCACTTCTGAAAGCGAAGAGACTGATTTCTCTAGATAGGAGATGGATTTCTCGATCCTCTGCAGGTCTTTGTCGATGGTCATTTGCAGCCGAGAAAATCCGTGCTGCTGGGTTGCGATGGCTGAGACACCCGTGGCTGTGCCAGCTGCTCCCAGGCCAAGCAGCATTGCGATGGTCAATTTTTCTTTTGTGGAGTCTGTCAGGTTTCTCGAGAGGGTGGTATGTCTTTTCGTCTGAGTGATATAAGACCTTAGGAACAATTAAAACTTGAACACAGAAATCGATAGAGTTATTAAATTTGGCAAGGAACATATAAGGATTCACTCTGGGTCTCTGGCAAACTTACATCTCAGATGTGGATGCGACTACTCACTTATTGGTCCTCTGCGGGGAGTGTCCCACTTGCACTGGTGGGGGGCACTGGCTGTGGAGTAACTGAAGGGGGTGTCTAAAGCAATGCCTTCGTAGAAAAGGGGGTTTAACATTATAGCAAAACTAATAGGGGTTAGTCAGGTCCGATTTGGTTTCGCTTAGGGTTAGTAAGGTAGCTTCTAAACAGGTTGGCTATGTGGAACACGAAGGATGGGGTATTTACTGTGGTGACTTCTTTGAGCACCTTGTCACTTGATAGATGTTGCACGACCCACCTAAATAGCTGATGAGGGTAGTGGCCTGGGTCAGCTTGTCCCCCGGCCACAAGCCCTAATAGCAAAATTGCACAGAGACACTGTGCATGTCTGGGTCTCACCGCCGTGGGATTTTCAGGTGTTGTCTGGCGGCTTGGTGGTCTGTCATTTCTCTCTGGAGCAGGGGTGTATGCATCACGGGGATGGTTCACAAGCGTGTCCTGCAAACAAGACTCACAGCTTCTCATTAGTTTTGTTTTGGGGGTCAGGTTTGATTGGCAGCAGTGGGTCTGCAGCAGTGGTGCTTATTATAAATTTGTAATCCTGACTCTTGACATAGCAAGGATGTCCCTTCCTATCAGGGGTGGAGAGTTTTGTAAAATGTAAGGGTGGACTGCTACTGTCCGTTCTGGCCCCTTCTTTGTATGCAGCGTTATAGCTACCAATTGGGTGCTTTTCCAAGCTCGGGACAGCCCTCCCACCCCGTTCATTGGAGGGACCTCTCTGCACCGCCAGTGTCGGGGCCGCAGAGCCTGCGGAAACATCGGGCAGTCTGCTCTTGTGTCTGCCCAAAGCTGGAGTCCCGCCACGTGGGGGTCCCGACTGCCACAGAGGCGGCACGTCCCCCACACTCTCAGGGGCTCCCTCCCCACTTTCATGGCCAGGGCTACCCAGGGGTTCCGCTCTGGGACGCCCCCTGCTGACTCTGCGGCACAGGCGCTGTTATTTGCGGTGGGAGGAGGCTGAGTTCGGCTCGCGCGCTCCCCCCCCCCCGTCCCGTGTCTCCGGGGGCTGGGACCTGCATTCCTTGGCGAGACGCCTTTTTCTCCCGCAGCCCCAAAAGGGTCTTTTTCTCCAGTTGGTAAGCTGGGTTGGTTCGTATTGTGACCCCTTTTCGGTGCGGCTTAGAACTCTACTCGGTTTTGTTTTAAACTGCGCTGGTTCCGTTTTTTCCGTTTCGGGGTCCTGGGCGGCTCCCGCCGGCCCCTCCGAGCCGGCAGAGCTGTTGCCGGGCTCCGCGCCGGAAGTCAAATGCCAGCGCACTTCCGGGGCTCAGTGCCGTTTTGTTCAGCTCCGAGCTTGCTCCTCCCCGCGGGGGTGGGGCCGCTCCCGCCCCCCGGGCTCGCCGCGCCTCCTGCGGGGGGTGGTTTCTCCCTTATATGGTGGCGGCTTCAGGCGCGGCCGCTGATTGGCTCCGCGCTCCGTGCCGCTCTCTGTCTCTTTCTCCTGCGCACGCGCGCCCCTGAAATCGTGAGGCTCTCGAGTTTTCGCGCCGAGATTACTCGCGCCCCGCCCCTCCCCACGGCACCCGGCGCCATTTTCAAAGCGGCAGCATGGCCACGCGGTTAGCGTTTTCACCCAAGCTGCGGTTTCTGCGACTCTGGCTTCTTCTGCCAGCTCCTGCCAGAAGCGCTCTGCACGCCGCTGCGCCTCTGACAACGGATCGCTGACCGGCGGCGGCGGCGGGACGGAGGAAGCTGCGGTTTCTCGGGGGGGTTTCGCGGTGGGGGTTTTTTGGGGGCTTTTCGCGGCGGGGGTTCTTCGAGGGGCTTCCGCAGCGGGGGTTGGGCTCTGATCTGGGGAAGGGGGCGATGCGCCGAGCCCCTTTGGGTCCCCGCTCCCGGGCGGACTGTCTTCAGGGACGGTCTGTGTTTCCGCCCCCGCCCCGAGCCCGGGTCTAACTAATAATCACATATGCGCTGCACTCTGCGTCTCTTGCTTTTCTATTGCCTTGCGCGGGGCTTTTTCTACCTTGCCCCGTGCCGTAACGCTCTTGCCACTGCCTGAGGATTTCGTTTCCCCGGCCAGCGTGGCTGTACACTGTTCCCATATTCCCGGATGCATAGCATCCACTGGGCATTCGGCTGCCACAAGCTCAAGCAGCCTCGCTATAGCAAGATAAAAGTCCTTGAGCTTAAATTCGATACTCCATTGCCCACAAATCACACTTACGACCCATGCGACGCTGCCCATGACGCTCGCGGGTCCTGGGACGTCTCCCTGCGCCAAGATACGGTCTGACCACTCCGGCCGCTGCTCCTGTCCAGGCGTCTCCCGACTGCCGGGTGATTTTTTCCCTTTTTTCCCTTTTTTCTCCCGGGTTTCGGCACCAGTATGTTGCCTTTATAAAGGGCAACTAGCGACCTGGTTCAGGGAACAGCACGGCAGCCTGGTCTCGCCCAGGCTACTCGGGCTAATCAACGCACGCAGATACCAATGTGGCAGACGGTCGAAAAGCCTTTATTATCTCATCTTGTGGGTTTAAATAGTCTTGGGGGTCTTTGCTACGTCAGAGGGGGGTTGTGGGGTCTCTAGGGTTAGTCGGGAGTGGAAAGTTACCAGAGCAGGTGTGGTCACATGCTCCTGGGGTTAATGGATAGCGTGGGGCAGGGAGAGGGGGAAGGGTCTCTCTCTTTCCGTCACATCCCGTGGTCTTCCGTTCGCCTGTCCCTTATCTACCACAGTACCCTCTTCCAATCGTGGAGTCGATCCATATGTTCGTATATACCTGCTTCCAGACAGAAGATGGACAAGCAGGAAGAAGACTTCTGTTAAGAAAAAAACCCTGAACCCTCCAGTATGATGAGAAGTAAGAAAATGTAAATTATGATTGTGGGTGGAATAGTTATGATCTCTGTGTAATGGCAGGGTTTCCTAAGGTGTGCTGCTGTAGCTCCTAAGGACTCTCTTGTGGACATTTCCAGCTTTTCTGAAACAGGTGGCACTTGGACGGTGATTTACAAGTACTTGGGGCTGGCCTTGCTCTGCCTGTGGTGTTGCAAGTCCCCCAGAAGAAGGGTACAGCTTCTTCCCTGTCCCTTCCCTGCCCCTAGGCTGCATTTGCTTCTCTGCAAACTGACATTCTCCCTCTGTGTTTAACTCCCTGTCATGGCAGAGGCAATCTGCCCGTTCAGGTACCTCCCAGAGTCTACTGCTCTGTTCACACTGCTTTGCCTGATGTTTTTTCTGACATCTGTCCAAAGGTCCAAGGCAGAAGTACAGAGCCTTTTGAGACTGGACCACCCTTAGGGCACACCGGTGGATGTTGTCATCAAGGCCTGGTGGGAGCAGAGTAAAATGCTCCCACCTCTTTGCTGTCAGTGTCACAGCTCTGCCACTGAAATTGAATGTGTTTTTCATAAATCCAAACACAGTAACACTTAGAAGTAGAGCTCTTTTGAGAGGTGGTTTTAATCCCATAATTAGAAGAAGGTATGGATATATGTGAATGTTGGTTTATCCTTGGTGGCTTATATTTTTCCTGTGTCATGTCCTTTCTCTGTAAGTCAGAAATTAAGAAAAGATTTTGAAATATTCGTTCTTAACACTCAAAACACCAAAACTGAGGATTCTGCTTATGTCTGTTCATAAGTAACTGCAGATTTAGTGCCATCCCAGCAGTTGGGAAGAGCATCTCCTTTTCCTCATTCTCAGTACTGACATATCCTGTACATCCTCAATTAAATATAACGCTTAGCTCCAAAACACGTTACCTGTTTCACAGCTCTGACTTGAGGAAAAGCTATTCAGGTGGGCAGAACTGGAGTGATTTAGCATGGACAAAACTCACTTGACATTAGCCATGTGTGCCAGAGGATTGAGTCAGAGCCATTAAGGATTTAATTGCCATAAGTTTCAGCCTTTGCCTGTTCTTGGTGTGGTGCAAGGCTGCTCAGTGAACTTGGGGGTTTGGCTCATGCCTATTTCCTCTTGAGTAATGAACATTGCATGGAAAACACGCTGATCTTCCATGGAGGGGGGAAAATGATGTTAAATAGCATTTCATCATGGATGCATGTTTTCGTCCTTCCCCTGGCACAGTGGACAGTCTGAACACAGTGTTGTCATCTTTCATGAGGCCTGGAAAAGGTTCCCTGCAATGTGGATAAAACCTCACTCTAGAATTGCCTTTTCTTTGTGTTCCTTCCCTGTTAAAGTCCTGGCCATTGATGCTGTATTCTGTCACTATATTGTGCCCACTGGTGCTCACAGGATTTTAATTTTTGCCTTAAGTTTCTTCTTGTTAAACTTTATTTAAAGGTTTGGATTCTTTGAATATTTGGAAAATGTCAAGAAAAGGACACTGGACATTGCAGTGAAAAACAGCAGGCCATTCATTTCACAGGAGAGGAAGGAACTGGGGAAAGTAAGTTTAAAGAATCTCCACTACAGATATAACAGAGTTGAACACTCCGGGCTACTCCTGAAATCCTGAAATGTGGTTCCAGTAACTAATTCTCAGTAATAGACTGGCAATCTGGAAACAATATTTTCTGCCATATTTTAATCTCAAATGAGGCTGTATCCATGTGGGAGCTGCGTGGTCTCATTTCAGAAGGGTGCTCCTAAAGTAAGCCCTGGTCCCTGGGCCCTGGTGCTGCCCATGTGGGGAATGGCTCCAAGAGCACAAACATGGAGCTGAGAAAGGCTTTGGGACTAAATCCCACAATTTGCCAAAACTGCTTTGAGCTTTCTGTGAACAACTCTGATTCTGTGAAAAGTAAACTCCAATTGCTTCTTCAGTGATTGATAAATTTCCAAGTAGTGCTATAGGAAACGGAGCTGGTTCATGCCTAGACCACCCTGGGAATGTTGGAAGCTCCATTTTGCCTCAAGCCTGAGCTGCAGCCCCACAGCTGGAAAGTGGGTCTGACTTGGGAGGGGTGATAGCTTAGTTAATCCACTTATATGCTGAATAACCTACAAACAAATAAAATTTGCTTTTTAAAGGTGCATATTGACTTGTACCAGGAGGATTTAATAAAAGGTTTTGCCCAATGGTAAGTACTCATCTCCATACTTCCAAACCCTGCCCATTGCTTTGCTGGGAGCTTGCATGACTGCTGTGGGAGTGAGTGCTGGTAACCAGGCTGTCTTTGGGTGAGCAAGAAGAGTATCTGACCTGCAAAGGCAGGACTAACTTGAGCTAATCTCATAGTTCTATCTAAATTGTGTGTTAATCCATTGCCTGTGCAGTGCCTGCCCTGTGAGACAGCTTTAATGAGATGCCTGTGTCAATTATAGTCTTCAGCATATTTTAAGTTGCCATAAAAGCCACAGGGGCTTACAAGCCACATAAGGAAAAGAATTTTGTTTATTAAAGTAACCTTGCAACAAATTTTAACTTGAATAAACATCTTAACTAAATACTCTGATCAGCAATATATATGCATGATAAAACTTTAATTACAAAGCATTTATAGAAACTATTATAGTAAGCCACTTACAGTTTTGCTTGTACGTTCATTGTGATTCTGAGGTTTCTATGTTCCTGGTCTGAGGCAGAACAGAGAACCAGGCTTGGGTGTTTTTTTCACTTCTGTGTCTTTAGTAAATGGCAGGAGTTCTTCCTTCTTTCTCCTTCAGTGGAGCCTAAGGAATGTAGTGTGGGTAGTCCAGGAGCTTGCCATCTGCACAGGCAGTGAGCCAATATTCCAACAGGAAAACCACATTTCCCTGGCCAGCTTGTGTTTGTGTGTCAGGGCAATTAGGGGAAGAGGAAAAAAGGATGCACCCAAAGTTTCTGGTGAAGAGCTGAAGTTTGAGGCCATCTCTGGAGCCTCCTTTGCTGTGCTGCCTGTGAAGCAGAAGCAATAAAGCAGCCCAAGTTTTCTCTACTGTGCCAGCTAAAACTGTTAAGAAAGTTTTCAACTTCAGTAATTATTTATTGTGTCTGTCTTGCAGGTATGAGCTGACAAGGAGCAAACACAAGAAAATCTGATTTCTTCTCATGTACATAAGTGACTAATTTTTCAACCTCATATGGATGTACATATCTCTTGTAATTAACATATTTTGCACAGTTGTTGCAAATTTGAAGCAGGCTCCAGCTCAGGACATACAAATTTAATGATCCTATTTGGATCATTAGTTCTATTAGTTCCTATTCGAGGATTAGTTCTCACTGAAGTTAAACATATTTTCCCCCACATAGGGAATAATTTGTCCTTAAACAATAAGTCCTTTATTTTTGCTATTTCTGGCAAATCCCCCTTCAAAGGACCTCTAAGTGTGAAACCTCTCTTAAAGGAGGGTTGTACCTGGGGAGATTTTAGACTGCCAGGCAAGTGTCCTTTGCTTGGCAGTCTGATGGCCCTAGGAGCTTGTTCATGTTGTTTTAACATGGAAGTGGTTTACTTTTAAAAGAATACATTTTGAAACAGTATTCTTCAGCTGTAGGGCTACCGAAGCTTTTAAAAGAGAAACTCTTTAATAGCTATTTTTGTTTGAGAAACGAAGAAGTTGGTAGTCCACTGTTCAGAAGTACCTTAGCTGACTGTGGCTGCAGGTATGTAAATAATGAGCTTCCAAAGCAGGGAGATGAACTTACCAAGATGTCATTAAGGTTTTAGTTTGTGATGCCTTAACTGGTTTTGTCCTTTGTTAGAGTACATTTCAAAATCTTGTAAACCCAATTCTGTCTGAGGAACAGCAAAGTTTTGTAAACTAAGCTTTAATAATATTGAGGCAAAATATTTTTGGAAGCTTGGTGTACTTGTTTCTGTACAACAAACTTCTACTTGTCTTGCATAAGAGACTTGATCTAATCCTTTCAAAAACTGACTTATGAAATACAACGATGGTAACTTCAAATCATTGCCTGAAACAAATTTCAAGTATTTTTGGCCTAGATTACATTAATTCAGTCTGCCTCAGTCCATAATCAGAGAGAATACTCACAGAGTAACAATGTGTTCCCATCCCAAACTGATCTGGAAGTGTGAACAACATTTTAAAAGAGGCTCTCCAGAAAACCAAGATTGGGCATTTGTGTAAGTGTGATGGCTATGGCAGTAAAGGCATCTTTACCTCATACTTACTCTGTCAGCAGTATTAAAAATTGTTAGAATTTGCCTGGTGTTGTATTACCAGGGTATATTGGTTCTCCCTCTGGGATTGAGTAGACCACTTGACAGCAGTTGAAGTATTTCTTAAATTGACCGAGAATTCAAAAAAAAAAAAAAAAAAAAAAGCAACAACTTTTATTTCTGTAAAAAAAATCTGGAATTGTTGCTTAGGAGGTAGCTGCAATGTCATGTGCACCAACAGGTACATTCACAGGTAAGAGAAATCTTGCTCAGGAAGATTCACCCATAACCAGCTCCCCATTTCAGGTTTTGCACTGCAGGTAAAATATCATCCATGTTGCTGATCTCTGCAACAGAATGGAAAGCAAAAGGGTTAGGCTTATGAACCTAGAATACCTTTGAGTTTAACCAAAATTCTAACTTAAACTCATGGTTAATTAAATAAACTCCTCATACCTTTTAATGCTTTTGGAAAAAAAAAAAATTTGTTATAAGTAATATGCTTAAGTAAATGCAAACCCATGTTAAATGAAAATAAAGTGTTTTGGTCACTTCCTGAGAAGAGGTGAAAAGGAGAGTGAGGCAAAAGGCAGCACCTTCCCTCACATCCTTCTCCTGTTTTAGCACAGCAGGAATAAAGAAAACACTTGTAAACTGTTTAGAGTTATATGTGAGGAAGTGTTGGCATGAAGATAATTACTGGTGCAAATATTACTCACCTAGCAGACACAGCAAGTCTTGAATGAGAGCTTGAAAGGGCGGAAAGAAGCACTCATGTTCTTCAAGCTTATTGATGATACTGGAATGGAAAGTGAGACAATCAGGTAAGAGGTGCAAGGACATGGCAAGTTCATCCCCTTGGCCATTTTGTTGTTCTGTGCCATGACTTTGTGAAAATTCTGCTACTTAGTATATAAAACCATGGACACCAATGTTCTGTTCTCCAGATCTGAACCCTGCAGCCAACAAGGGAGCTGTCACAAGGATCTCTGATTTCACCACTAATGCTGTATACACATCTTCTTTCCCCCTCACATGGCTCCAGGTAGTCAGGCCTGGAACATTTGCCTGTGTATGTGTGGTAGATAGGGACAGGCGAACGGAAGACCACGGGATGTGACGGAAAGAGAGAGACCCTTCCCCCTCCCCCTGCCCCACGCTATCCATTAACCCCAGGAGCATGTGACCACACCTGCTCCAGTAACTTTCCACTCCTGACTAACCCCTGAGACCCCACAACCCCCCTCTGACGTAGCAAAGACCCCCAAGACTATTTAAACCCACGAGATGAGATAATAAAGGCTTTCGACCGTCCACCATACTGGTGTCAGCGTCTTTGTCGTTAGCCCGAGTGGTCTGGACAGGCCGGACCGCAGTGCTGCTCCTTGGAACTGGGTCGCCCGTTGTCTTTTATAAAGGCAACATATTTGGTGCCGAAACCCGGGAAAAGAGGGAAAAAAATCACCCGGCTGTCGGGATACGCCTGGACAGGAGCAGCGGCCGGAGCGGTCAGACCGTATCTTGGCGCAGGGAGACGTCCCGGGACCCGCAATCGTCATGGACGCTATAGCAAGGGTCGTAAGTGCCATTCATAAGCAGTGGGGTATTGGGTGTAGGCTCAAGGATTTTTATCTTGCCATAGCGAGGCTGCTTGAGCTTGGGGCGATTGAGCGTCCTGTGGATGTGTTACATCCGGAAATATGGGAAAAATGCACTGCCGCGCTAGCCGAGGACACAAAATCCTCAGGCAGTGGCAAAAACCTTAAGGCATGGGGCAAGGTAGAGAAAGCCCTGCGCAAAGCAATAGAAGAGCAGGAGACATGGAGCGCGGCGCGTACCTGTTTATTAGTTACTCCCAAGCTCGGGTGGGAGCGGGAACGAAAACTGCCCCTGAGAACGATCTGCCCGGCGGCGGGGACCCGGGGGGGCTCGGTGTGACACCCCCTTCCCCAGATCAGAGCCCAGTCCCTGCCGCAGAAATTCCCCGAGAAATCGCGGCTTCCCCGCCCGTCCCGCCGCCGCCGCCGGTCCGCGATCCGTTGTTAGAAGTGCAGCAGGGCGCAGAACGTTTTTGGCAAGGGCTGGCGAAAGAAGCCAGAGACGCAGAAAACGCGGCTCGAGAAAACACGCCGGCCATGCCGCCTCCTTACCCCCTTGAAAATGGCGCCGGTCGCCGTGGGGAGGGGCGGGGCGCGGGTAATCTCGGCGCGAAAACTCGGGAACCGCGCGATTTCGGGAATGCGCATGCGCGGGAGAAAGATGCGGAGAGCGGCAGAGAGTGCGGAGCCAATCAGCAGCCGCGCCAGGCGCCGCCACCATATAAGGGAGAAACCACCCCCTGCGGGAGGTGCGGCGAGCCCGGGGGGCGGGAGCGGCACCACCCCTGCGGGGAGGAGCGAGCTCGGAGCCGAACAAAAAGGCACCGAGCCCCGGAAATACGCTGGCACTCGACTTCCGGCTCGGAGTCCAGCAGCAGCTCCGCCAGCTCGGAGGAGCTGACGGAAGCCGGCTATGACTCCTAAACGGAAGAAACAGAACCAGCGCGGATTAAAACAAAACCGAGTAGAGTTCTAAGCCGCACCGAAAAAACAACTACAATACGAACCAGCCCAGTTTACCGACTGGGGGAAAATAAAAATAGCCTGTGCTGATTGGTCCCCAGCGGCTGCCATACAAGCCTTCCCGGTGAGGCTCGCCGGTCCGGAGGGGAACCAACAAAGGGTATATACCCCGATAAACCCAAAAGACGTACAGTCAATTGTCAAAGCCATCGCAGAAAAAGGGATCAACTCGGCCATAGTCTCCACATTAATCGATAGTCTTTTTAGCAACGATGACCTGCTTCCCTTTGATATCGAATGAATAGGGCGCATGATACTTGATGGTGCGGGAATGATCGTGTTTAGGCAGGAATGGGAGGATAATTGTAGGAAGCTATTGGCCCAAGCATCTGGCGCGAGGCAGCCACTACACAGATCGAGCTTATCCAGACTGATAGGAAAGCATGATGATATGATCACACCGCAACAACAAGCTGCACAGATGCAGGCTGAGGAGGTCAGGGCGACCACTCGGGCTGCCAGGGAGGCTATTCGCGCAGCCTCTCGAGTCGTGGCTAAGCCGGCGCCGTGGTCCACTGTGAGGCAGGCAGAGAGCGAAAGCTTCACGCAGTTTGTGGATCGCCTGCAGGCAGCCATAGACTCCTCCACCCTGCCGGCAGAGGCAAAGGGCCCCGTGATAGCTGACTGCCTGCCCCAGCAGTGCAACTCCATTACCAAGGATATCTTACGCTCCCTGCCAGCCGGAGCTAGCCTGGCTGACATGATCAGACATGTAGTGAAGGAAGAGCACCTGACACCCATTCAGGCAGCTGTCCACACCCTGACCAATGCCATGGCGTGTTTCAAGTGCGGTGAGGCGGGTCACATCGCGGTGAGCTGCCCCCAGCCGGCACGGCGGCCCGCCGCAGCGCCTCCACCTCAAACACGCCCGCAGGGATCCTGTTGGGGTTGCGGGAGGAAAGGGCATCTCGCTAGGGAATGCAGGTCCCGGCCCCAGGGAAACGAGAAAGGGAGGGGGCCTGCGGGCCGCACTCAGCCTCCTCCCGCTGCAAATATGAGGCGGCCCATCCATGCCAACCCCCAATGGGGCGGGGAGCCCTCGTACCCCATACCCCCACAGGAAGCAGCCAACTTCATACCCCTGCCAGCGAGTCTCACAACACAGCCTACGGCGCCTTCGTACCCACCGCCACCACAAGCGGCGCCTGTGCCGCAGGGTCAGCAGGGGGCGCCCCAGGATGGGACCCCTGGGTGGCCCTGGCCCTGAAAATAGGGAAGGAACCCCCGAAGGTTTGGGGGACATGCCGCCTCTATGGCAGTCGGGACCCCCACGTAATAGGGCTTCAGTTCTGGGCAGACACAGGAGCAGACTGCTCAATCCTGCCCCAAGCCCTATGGCCCCGACACTGGCAATGCAAGGAGGTCCCTCCAGTGAACGGGGTGGGAGGGCTGTCCCGAGCTTGGAAAAGCACCCAATTGGTAGCTATAACGCTGCACACAAAGAAGGGGCCAGAACGGACAGTAGCAGTCCACCCCTACATTTTGCAAAACTCCCCACCCCTGATAGGAAGGGACATTCTTGCTATGTTAGGTGTCAGGATTACAAATTTATAATGAGGGCCACTGCCATACACCCACTGCTGCCAATCAAACTGACTTGGAAATCACCAGACCCCATATGGGTTGAGCAGTGGCCCCTGTCAAAGCCTCGAATGACAGCCTTGCTGGAACTGGTCGACCGCGAGCTACAAAAGGGCCACATTGAACCCTCCACCAGCCCGTGGAACACCCCTGTGTTTGTAATCCCCAAGAGATCAGGAGAAGGCTACCGCCTCATCCACGACCTGAGGGAAGTGAACAAGGCAATTCAGCCCATGGGTCCAGTTCAGACACTACTGCCCGCGAACTCAGCCATCCCCAAAGGGCAGCCATGCGCAGTGCTGGACATCAAAGACTGTTTCTTTTCAATACCCCTGCATGCTGAGGACAAAGAACGGTTCGCCTTCTCCATCGTGTTCCCGAACGGCGAGCGACCTAACCTCCGCTTCCAATGGAAGGTGCTACCTCAAGGCCTTGTGGACAGCCCGACCATATGCCAGATTACCGTGGACAGGGCACTGATGCCAGTCCGACACTCCCACCCTGCCGTAACCATCATTCAGTACATGGACGACATCCTCGTCGCCGCACCATCAGCAGGACAAGTGGATCACCTAGTGTCCACGATCACGGAAACCCTCCAGGCCAACGGTTTTGAGATCGCGAACACGAAGATCAAGAGAGGACCGTGCGTGACCTTCCTGGGGGTGGGGATCACAAACTCCTACGTGACCCCACCCAGGATAAAGGTCCGCCGAGACATCAAGACCCTCCACGACATGCAGCGACTCGTGGGATCTCTGCAGTGGCTCCGCAACATCGTCCTAGTTCCCCCAGAGGTCATGGACCCCTTGTATGACCTCCTGAAAGGAAAACACCCCTGGGACCCCAAGGAGCTGACGCCGCAAGCAACGAAATCCCTCGACTTCATTGAACGTCAGATGTCTACTAGCCTGCTTGCCAGGTGGAACCCAAGCGTACCACTGGACTTATACGTCCACTTCACGCAGAAGGGAGGAGTGGGAGCACTGGCCCAAGGACCTTCCGAAAAATCCCAGCCGATCCAATGGGTGGTCCTTGGAAGACCAACTCACGCATTCTCCCCAGGAGTTGAATGCGTTGCTAACCTCATCATGAAAGGCAGGAGACTCGCCCTGAGACACCTGGGAATGGAGCCGGCAAGGATCCACCTCCCCTTCCGCAAGCGACCAACCATGGAGTCAACTGCGATATCGGAGCACCTGGCCCTCGCTCCCACTGGCTTCGGAGGAGAAATCTCCTATGCCACCAAACCACCTTGGACCCAGCTACTGACCATTGTCGACATAGATGTGCCACCGAAGGTCATGGACCGACCACAACCAGGACCAACGGTCTTTACAGACGCCTCCTCCATGACTTCTACTGCAGCAGTGGTGTGGCAGGCAGGAGAAACATGGCATTGCGTCAAAACATGTGACCCCATGCTGTCAGTGCAACAGCTGGAAGCAGCAGCAGTGGTCTTGGCGTGCGGACTCTTCCAAAATGAACACCTCAACATCGTGACAGACTCTATATTCGTGGCAAAGCTCTGCCTAGCCATGTCAAGACCAGGTGTGTCAGCATCCACGATGGCCTCCATGCTCGAAGAGGCACTCTCCTCACGCCAGGGCATCGTGTCCGTCATTCACATCAACAGCCATAACCCAGTCAAGGGCTTCTTCCAGACTGGAAATGACAAAGCAGATGCCGCAGCGAAGGGAGTGTGGACACTGCAGGAAGCTCGTCAGCTGCACGAGTCACTCCACATCGGAGCCAAAGCACTGGCAAAGAGATGCGGGATCTCGACAGCAGACGCGAGACACGTAGTGGCCACCTGCCCCCACTGCCAGAAGTCACCCCTATGGACCGGTGGAGTCAACCCGAGAGGCCTCAAGGCGTCAGAAATCTGGCAGTCAGACTTCACTCTCTGTGAACTGCTGAAGCCCCGAGCATGGCTTGCAGTGACAGTGGACACTTACAGCGGAGTGATCATAGCAACACAGCACCTCAAACCCAACTCCAAGGCCACAATCCAGCACTGGCTGACAGTTATGGCATGGCTTGGTATCCCCAAGCAAATTAAAACTGACAATACTTCCAATTTTATCTCCAAATCAGTGCGGGAATTCGCCTCGGTGTGGGGTATCACCTTAGCGCAGGGGATCCCGTATAACAGCACCGGACAGGCCATTGTTGAGCGAGCAAATCAGACCCTAAAAGCCAAGTTAGAAGTATTGGCAAAGGCAGAGGGCTTTGCCAGTTCCATTCCCTCAGGAGACCAGACGCGCATGCTAGCAACCGCATTACTGGCACTGAACCAATTCCCTAGGGGAGATGAAGCAAACAGTCCCATTCGAAAGCACTGGGCCACTCAGACCCTAGAGGAGGGCCCACAGGTCATGGTCAAAAACGAGCTAGGCGAGTGGGAACGGGGCTGGAGACTGGTGCTTACGGGACGAGGGTACGCGGCAGTTAAAAAAGAGGACAAGATCAGGTGGTGTCCACTCAGGTCGATCAAACCTGACCTTCAGAATGAAATTAACGGAAAACTGTGAGTTTTTGTTTGCAGGACACGCTCGTGGACTGTCCCCGTGACACACACACCCCTGCTCCAGAGAGAGATGACGGACCACCAAGCCACCAGACAAAACCTGAGCGTCCCACGGCGGTGAGACCCAGACATGCACAGTGTCTCTGTGCAATCCTGCTGTTGGGGCTTGTGGCCGGGGGGCAAGCCGACCCAGGCCACTACCCTCACCAGCCGTTCAGATGGGTCATGCAACATCTTTCAAGTGACAAGGTGTTCAAAGAGGTCACCACAGCAAACACCCCATCCTTCGTATTCCACATAGTCAATCTGTTTCCAGGGCAACCGAAACTACGGCCCTCAAGCCCACACATCATACTCATGTACATATCTTACTGGTGCCGAGCGTCCAACCCAGGGAAAAGGTACTGTGACTACCCGGGGTGGGGACATTGTGGATATTGGGGCTGCGAAACCATTGTTACAGATGCCAGACCATGGGGAGACGGGTGGCAACCGCAGGAGCCAGACAAATTCTTACAGTTCACCTGGGCACCCTTAGGCTGCGGAGACCACAATGCACAGCCTAGATTACGGGGATGCGTAAGTTATAACATGACCGTTCTACAGCCAGATCACCCTAGCTGGGCCACGGGTAGAACATGGACAGTGGTCCTCAGAGGACCGAGGAGGTGGGTGAATGTGCGAATTATCAGGCTCCAGCCACCAGCACCTCGACCAGTGGGACCCAACAAAATTATCAAGAATGTGCTGAGAGGGAAAAACACAACCCACCCCAAAACCTTGTCCCCAAAAGTCACTGACACCCCGACCGGCCTTGCAGATACCCTCCAGATAGGCCACACGGCTGAGTCAGACCCAAACCCAATCTTTCGTATGCTAGAAGCTACCTTCCTAACCCTAAACGAAATCAAACCAAACCTAACTAACTCCTGTTGGCTTTGCTATGATGTCAAACCCCCTTTCTACGAAGGCATTGCTTTAGACACCCCCTTCAGTTACTCCACAGCCAGTGCCCCCCACCAGTGCAGATGGGACACTCCCCGCAGAGGAATCACCCTGAGTCAAATCACAGGACAGGGCAGATGTTTTGGAAATGCAAACTTAGCAAAGCAGAAAGGCAACTTCTGCACCAAAGTTGTCAAACCCAACAGAAAAACTAACAAGTGGGTGATCCCATCTGCGTCTGGGATGTGGGTTTGCCAAAGATCCGGTGTGAGTCCTTGTGTGTTCCTTGCCAAATTTAATGACTCTACCGATTTCTGTGTTCAAGTTCTGATTGTCCCCAGGGTCCTGTATCACTCAGACGAAGAGATATACCATCTTCTCGAGGAACCTAACAGACTCCACAAAAGAGAAATCATCACAGGTATAACCATCGCAATGTTGCTTGGCCTGGGAGCAGCTGGCACAGCCACGGGTGTCTCAGCCATCGCAACCCAGCAGCACGGACTCTCTCAGCTGCAAATGACCATCGACAAGGACCTGCAGAGGATCGAGAAATCCATCTCCTATCTAGAGAAATCAGTCTCTTCGCTTTCAGAAGTGGTCTTACAAAATAGGCGGGGGCTGGACCTCTTGTTCATGCAGCAGGGAGGACTGTGTGCAGCCCTGAAAGAGGAATGCTGCTTTTATGCAGATCATACGGGAGTCGTTAAAGACTCCATGGCAGAACTCCGAGACAGACTGGCTCAGAGAAAGAGAGACAGGGAAACCCAACAGAGCTGGTTTGAATCCTGGTTCAATCAATCACCTTGGCTCACCACTTTAATTTCCGCCCTGGTAGGTCCACTGGCAATACTGCTTTTAGCTATTACCATAGGACCATGCCTGCTGAACGAACCAGTCTCGTTTGTTCAGGCCCGTCTAGAAAGGGCAAACATTCTGTTCATAGGCCACCAACAAATGCTGTAAACCAAAAACTGCGAACACAGTCAGTCGCTAAAGCCTTCAAGACCTGCCCTGAAAAAATTACTCAGGTTTACCAAACCACCCTTTCCTTAACAAGTCACAAGTTTGTACCTCACTCCAGTGCCTATATCTACGACTACCTCATTTTATATATGATAAGGGGAGGGGAGATGTGGTAGATAGGGACAGGCGAACCGAAGACCACGGGATGTGACGGAAAGAGAGAGACCCTTCCCCCTCCCCCTGCCCCACGCTATCCATTAACCCCAGGAGCATGTGACCACACCTGCTCCAGTAACTTTCCACTCCCGACTAACCCCTGAGACCCCACAACCCCCCTCTGACGTAGCAAAGACCCCCAAGACTATTTAAACCCACGAGATGAGATAATAAAGGCTTTTGACCGTCCACCATACTGGTGTCAGCGTCTTTGTCGTTAGCCCGAGTGGTCTGGACAGGCCGGACCGCCGTGCTGCTCCTTGGAACCGGGTCGCCCGTTGTCTTTTATAAAGGCAACAGTATGCTAAGTATACTACCTGGGAGTGGCTGGTATAACTGCCTTGGAGGTAGAGCAAGAAGTGCTTTATAAGCAACTGTTCTCCAGTTAAAACTGAGAAATGAGTGCAGAAAGGCTGAGGGAGTGAGTATTGTCAACTCAGCACGTGTCAGACTTGCTGCCTGCTCCCTTTTTAGTTTGTCTGTAAAGCACATGCCGAATGCAAGCCCTTAGGGTCTGCTACCACCTAGATGTGGCTGTCATCTGTTGAAAGTATAACTGGATTTGTCCAGTTTCTAAAGTATTTGTAGGCAGCTTGAGGCAAACCCTGCCTTGGCAACTAGAACACTTCAATATTACATCTGAGACTTGCATCACTTTCTCCTCCCCACCCAGGTGCAGGATTTGTCTCCTGATGAAACATGTATCCCATTAAAGCTTGTTTGATCACATTATCCATGCAAACCAGAGAGTGTTTTGGAACCTTCTGGCCTCAATTTTTCCCTCTGTCAGCTTTATCTTTTTGACAGGATACAAGATTCGTTTCAAGCAGGACAGCAGTAACTAACACCTGTGTTGTCACAGCTCACTGACTTTGTGACAAATGATGAAAGTTTCTTTCAGCATCAGTTTTTGCCAGTTCTCAATTACTACATTTGATGTTTGCAGAATGGTCAGCAGTGGAACAGACCCACATACCTGTGGATGTCTTGGGCGCCCAGAAGCTGCTGTACCTGCTCAGTCACATTCTTATTAATGATGTCACAGTTTCCCAACAGTATCCACTACCACAGTGGGTGGAGCTAAACTGTCTGTGGAAAAACAAACACCTCATGATTCTTTTAACAGTAATAACAGAGAAGTATTTTAGACACAGTTGAATTCTTGGAGGTCCATAGATTTTATTAAGTTTTCATAGATCTAGGCATATACATTCCATCATTCAAAGAAAACAGAAATAAACAAATGGTCAGAAATAAACAAATGTTAGCTATGAATGGGGATTCTTTCACTGATCCTTTAGTGGCTAAAAAACTTTGGCAGAGCTGTGTGTTCACAGCAAAGAGGGTACTAAAGTGCACTTTTACAATGTCAGTGGAAATCAGTCAATTGAAATGATATATATAGAAAAGGGGTTATTCATTAGGTTCTTGGGACACAGCAGACACACTAGAGGGGCTAGGCCAATAAGGAACCTGCTTAACAAAGACTTTATTAACAACCAGAACTTGTTTTGATATTGAATTTGAACCTGTCTGTAGAGCTGTGACTGAAGGGTAGCAGCCTCCTTGTTCTTTTCTCTTTAAATTTCAGAAGAACTAGGCTTGGAAAAGGCATCTTCTGAAACTGCAGTTATTAGAGGGAGGTTCCTCCCATACTGGCTGCAGGCAGGAACACTGCTCCCCTCCTTGAATGAGGCTCAGCAGCCCAGGGGCTCTGGGGCTGGACATCCTACAGCCCAGCCCAACCTTTTAACCCAGGAGCAGCAGCTGCTGTTCTACAGAAGGTCCCACCTGAAGGGAAATAACCAACTATACCTCTGAGTACTGACAGTTTTTGACACTCAACAACTTGTTTTGGTTTTTAAGTTTAGCAGGATAAGATGGAACTTTCTGAAGACTGGACCCAATTACACTTGAATTAATTACTGAGTAGAAATCTACATTCGAGGCTGAGTTTTTTCTTCCTTAAACTTGTTATCTTTCAAGTGGAGAATGAACAACAATTAGGATGTCAGCTCACCAAAAAAGCTTGTGGAAAAAAAATCTATTACCCTGTTATTCTCTTCTTCTGCCTCTCTGCTATTCCTCAGCAACTGCTAAAGGCTTACAAATAATGGGGATTTGCTATTTGAACTGCAAATTGTAAGGAACATATTTTTATCTTACAGTGAAGGAAACAACTAGTTAATTCATTTCTCAACAAGCTCAACATTATTTCTATGAGGAGGCTAGCTTTTCACCTGTCTCCTTTTTTTGGAATGGGTGTGAACAAGCAGCAGGTGGTTAAGTCTTTACCTAGTTCCAGGAGCTCATAGAGGTTCCTCATGGCGTTGGTCATTTGCCCCAGCTTTGTGTACCACCTCGTTCATCCGTGGATAAACACCATTCAGAGAATTCACATCAAACAACTTCTGGAAGTGAGAGACTATGGCAGACAGGGGTTTGCAAGGACTGTCTCTGGTTGCTCTGGAGCAAGCAAGAAGAACTTAACAGTGGCACTGCTTAACAAGGCAAGGGTGCTCTTATGTTGAATAAAATTCTTAAAACCAGTCTGAAAAAAAGGTGTAATTTCCCTTAATGAAATCTCAGCCTTTCAAATATTTTTAAATCTGAAGACACAGTTTCAATAGTTTTCAGGCACAAACATACATCAATTCAAAACACTCTTTTGAAAAGCTTCCTTCTCTGTTGTATTCTCAGCCCTGAGAGACAGAATACAGGGTAATTCCTGACACTACAGGGCAATGCAAATTCACTGCTGGTCAAGTACCTTTGATTAAGCAATCTTCCCCAAGGTGAATTTATCCATTATGTTAAAACAGTCTTTGACTACTGAATTGTCTTCAAAATAGGTATTCTTAAATGCTGCAAGGCTTGCAAATGCACCAATTGAATCACTCGCATGAAGAATGCATTTAAGAATTCCACAGTAACTAGTGATTACCAAACCTCTGGTAAAAATTACCTTTTCCTTATGTTCTAATTCTTCCAAAACTGCATCTACTATCAACTGGAGGTCTTCAACTCGTATGGATTCTTTGTTGTCCTGTGGAATCTTTAGTGTTCCAAGGCAGCAATTCCAGAGACAGTTTTTCTCAAGGACCTATGCAAATCCTTTTAAAAGAAGGGAGGAGAGACAACTTATATTAGAAACTGCTTAAGTTGTTTTTATTATAGAAACAGGTGTTTTTCTGTTTCTCATATGCAGGAAAACATTCCAGCTCTGGAGAGGTTAAGGTTTTAATTTTCTGAATTTAAGGATAGTGTCTTGCTGACATTCTTTGATTTGAAAAGAACAGAGTAAAAAATACCTATATTGGCTATGTATTTACAGTTTCAGTGACATGGGAAGTATTCGTCACAAAGAGTTTGGCTTTAAACAAAACTATTTCACTTGCATTTGGATCAAAAACTCACCATTCTGTTCTGGTCAGACAAAAGGAAAGAAAAGAATGCACCATGATTTTGAGTGAAGTCGAGACTCTAAAGCTTAAGTTTTCTTCTCAGGGATTCAGTTAATAAAATGAAATAAAAGATTTACACAGAGAAGTGGTACATTACTTCATTACAGACCAGCAGATTATTTGTAAAATTTAACACAAGGTCAGGCAATAACAAAAGCTACAAACAGAACCCCAACACCTACACATACGGAGGGATGGAGGAGAGGAGAGCAGATTGAAAAGAAGACAAGAAACAGAAGTACAACAACGTGTTGTTACCTTTAGAGCTATGAGCTGATCTGCCCACATTTCTATAGTGAGTGGAAGGTGCTCAAAGCCACATCCCTGTCCATCCTCTTTAATGTAATTTTTGCACTTTGCTGGGCTGGGAATATTAATGGAGAGCTCTTGGCTTTGCAAAATAGAATCAATATGGGACAAAACTTCACGTACAAATAAACAAACGTTTATTGCTCAAATATGTATGACGTTTTGTAATAAAATCTCTCTCTATCACAGTCATGTTTCCTAAATTAAGTCATAAATAGCTCCAATATTACTATTGATGAATTTTTAAACATGCATTCAACATGCAATAGACTCAAAGATTTCAACATGTACTAGCTAGAAGGTAAATAAGTAATGCAAGTATATACTTCCTTCTGAGGGATAGTTAACATTTATCCACTCGAGGCATTGTAAATGCCCATAATTTACAGTTTGCTAAGTTTTAGTGTATTTAGGCTTTTTAATTACCAGAAAAATAAAATCCACTATCACCAAGTATCTTGAAATCCCCCATCCTGAACAGACTTCAGCTAAGTAATATTTACCAGCCTAGTGTCTGCTGCCTTTCTGTTTTCAGGTAGTTTACATGAGAACAAGAACCAGCCTACACTGACTGCCAAATCAGAACATGACTCATCTTACACAGAGGGATTTGATAGGCATTCTTAACCTCAGACCAGCACACTCCAGTCGACACAGCTAAAACAGAACATGTATAATATTTCATTGTAACACTGCTAGAAACATGCAGAACAGATACAATTTGGGTAACTGCAAGTATTGGGCAATCTGCATGCAGCTGATCCACTCTTGCAACTGTCCCAGAGTCCTTCTTTCCTTCTTTGTTTTCCCCAGTCCTGTTCCCTGAAAATCTGCACAAAAATACACACGGTGGGTCACACAAGCAGCCTTAGCAGGAGATGCTACCTTCTAACTTGATGGAAGAACCACGTGTGTAGCACTTTAAAACTCAGACATACAGTAAATACCCATGTTATGATGCTGGCAATAGAACTCCATCAGACCCAAGAAACACAGATTGACAACACAATACCTAATGCAAATATCATTAATTTATCTCAAGTCTTCAGGCTGAGGCTATGCCAGACTGCTTGCTGATTTAGAAGGGACACCACCAGTTTTTCTGTTGCCAGAATTCTACTATGGCTGAACACCTAAAACCCAGAATTTTACTCTAAAGGCTCAAATTCCAAGCTCAGTTGTTTATCTCCCTCTGCTGGAACATCTTTCCTGGCTTATTATACAAAGTTCACTACTGCTTTTCATCTAAATGATACCTACTGCACAAGAGAGAGAATAGACAATTTAAATATCACAAAATATCTATTTTTTTTTTTAAGTTTAAGGGATGTCTGTTTCAGGCTATAAAATATTTAGCATTCAGTATACACATGGAAAAAATGACTAAGTGAAATTACAGATAAAAACACTTTTTAGTACTAGAACTTTTATATCTTCAATATGTATTTTTCTTAGCAATATTTCAGAAAAAAACAGTCAGTTCTAAGAATAGTATGGTCATAACTTCAGTAGCTGCAAACATTTTGCCAACTCACACATTCACATTTATAATCCATAATGAAAACCAATTCTGCTTCCTTTATAGTTTATGGAAGCAGCATAATGGAATATGGAATAATATGGAAGCAACTAGAGATGGCCCTATACGTACTGCCAGCAAAAGAATTCAAATCAAATCCAGAAAGACAAAATGAAATAAAAACCCCACACTGCTGTGCCCCCATTTGGAGACCCCTGCCATCATTTCAGAAATAGAGGGCTTTCAGAGGTCCAGCAGCACTTGCTCCCATAGCCAGACTACAAAAAATGCTGATAAGGCACATGCTCTATAAGCTGCTCTCTACATGACAGGTTGCAGAGAGTGTACCTTGCCTTCAGAAGTCCAAAGGATTCATGGAAGTCCCTGAAATAATATACTTACTGGATAGTTTTCTTTAAAGCTTTCTGTAGTTTCTTCACTTGGTGCTTGTAAAATTTTAATTCCTGTGCAGTTGGCCTGCTAGACAGAAAAAGTACCACATTATATGTCTTGCATTGGAAGGTATCTATAAAATTCATCCAAGCAAAAAAGCTTTGTCAGTGCCAAAAAATCATTCTGGAAATTAAATTTCTGCTACATTTCTACATGACAACAGCAATAAAGAGCAAACTAACCATTAGCAGTTGCTATTAACAATGTGCTAGTAGCGAGAAGAGTGTGGCTGTTGCTGCCATATCTCATTTCTTTGATCACAGACTTCACACTTTACTTTTACAATTGCTGGTGCCTTGTAAAGCAAAGTCTACTGAAATGGCCTTATAAAGGATGATACTTATCCTTGCTCACCTTATTTCCAAGTTTTTCTTGAGATTTGTATTTTCAAACAAAAGCTGTTCATTCTCGGCTTTTGTCTTCAGTAAGTTGCTTCTAGAAAGACTGAACAACATAGACTGGGTAATTGCTCTTATTGATCTCATTTCAAAATGAACAAGCTTCAAACAATTTAAAGTATGTGCATGTTAAGAAGGTTCCCAATTGCCTGGACAGCAAAACAGCATGGATGGGAGCTCAGATGACTGAGGCAAAGAGCCTGATGCGTTAGACCCCAGGTGGAGCACTATGACTAAAGGAGATCTCTACAATCCTCAGCAGACTCACAACATTTTGCTGAATCTTTGTACAGGGACAGGGAATTCTGCCCACAGAGGCTCCAAGTTCAGAAGACATGACAAGAACAAGACAGGAACAGAAAATCAAACATTTATGTTTCTATGTGTCTTCTGAAGGTTACCATTGAGAGATCTGCACTGACTTGTTCTTGGAAGTTCCATACCATGAGCAGTGCTTTGTAATTAGAGTAGCATCTAGATTTAAGAAAATCTTCTTTGTTTTTCACTTCTCTCTGCACTTCGTCTTCATCTTTTTTATATTGCCTATTGGGAAAAATAAATTGGTTCAGCTTACTGCAGTTCAATTAGCTCAAAAATTTAAGTTGGTTTAGTTAGCAGTTATGTATGATAATGTTTCCATGAACTACCAAGTAAATAAAATAGAAATTCTGCCCTAAGATTCATGCTCTAATTTCTGGAAAGCTGTTCATATGCTAATGAAGTGCACTCGTCCACAAGAGAAACTCCAATACAAGCAAAATCCCATTTCAGTTTCTCATATAGTAATCTCAAGCTATAGGAATGTCTCAGGTATCAATTGTTGCTTTGTGCCATGCAGGCACTGGGACGGAGCTGAAAACCTTTGGTTTTGGGAGATCTATCAACTGACACAGCCAATGCAGTAATTCTGCCTGTGAACCATGGCAAAAGAGAAAGGGGAAGGGAAGAAGAAAAAGAAAGAAAGAAAGAAAGAAAAGAAGACAAGAAAGAAAAAGAAAAGAAAGGACAAGAAAGGAAAAGGAGAAAAGGAAAGAAAGAAAAAGAGACAAAAGAAAGAAAGGAAAGAAAAAGAAAGAAAGAAGAAAAGAAAGAAGGGAAAGAAGAAAGAAAGAAGGAAAGAAAGAAAGGGGAAAGAAAGGAAGAAAGGAAGGAAAGGAAAGAAGAAAAGAAAGAAAGAGAAAGGAAGAAAGAAGGAAGGAAAGAAAGGAAGGAAAGAAAGAAAAGGAAAAAGAAAGAAAGAAAGGAAAGAAAGACAAAGAAAGAAAAGAAAGAAAAAGAAAGACCCGAAAGAAAAGAAAGAAGAAAGAAAGAAGAAAGAAAGAAAGAAAGAAAGGGAGAAAAGAAAAGAAAGAAAGAAAGAAAGAAAGAAGAAAGAAAAAAAAGAAAGAAAAAGAAAAGAAAGAAAGAAAGAAAGAAAGAAAGAAAGAAAGAAAGAAAGAAAGAAAGAAAGAAAGAAAGAAAGAAAGAAAGAAAGAAAAAGAAAGAAAGAAGAAAGAAAGAAAGACTTATAGTTCAAGTATCTGAATACTCCAAGCCTCCCAACTATCCTGGTCTCCTGACTGAGAAGCTGCTTAGCCTGACTGCCAGTTATTTTCTGGAAAAATCTAAATTTCCATGACCATCATAACCCTTTGTTGTTTCTTACATGCTAGTGATACTTGGAGCACAGAGTATTTACCACTATAAGATTTAGGAACAGTAAAGGCTAAAAAAATTTTGTACAGTAGAACCACAAGGCATTTAATGAGACCTACCTCAGCTTCTTTTTAATCTGACTAATTTGAAATAATCTATTAGACATAGGTACCCGAAGAAAGGAAAAATGTTAATTTTGAATTTCAGATATTCTCACAAAACTCATACAGTGACCAACCCAGAAGAATAGCTCAGCTTACACACTGCACTGCACTTTGGAACTGACTGCTCCAAACAGTGCAGTTTCTCTCATACCAGAAAAACACGGTCACACTTTGCCAAAATGGAAAAGTAGACACATTGAATCTGTACTAGTTCAGAAGCAGCAAAATATTCAAGAGGAAAAAAAGTTAAATCTGCCCACCAGTGTCCTCATCTTATGCCTGTGGTTACCCAGCAAGATCAACAGAGAGGCACAGTCAAAATAAAGTGTTTTGAACACTCTGAGATTGTCTAGGTTGGAGAGACAGATGAGAGACGACAGGGAACCAAATTTAGTGATCCTTCCTCTGATACAGTGAGGGCTCAAGGAAAAAGCTGAGCACATACAATCCCTCTTAAAAGTTTCCCAGATAAACATTGCTGGCCAGGCCTAGAAAGCCAGGTGACATCAGCACAATAAAGCAATGGCTACCTGAGGCCTAGGAACTGGCAAATGTCTGACTGTACCAGAGCTACGGAAATCCTACTAGCAAGAGACCAAGCCTTGTGACACTTTGGGAACTCACCCAAAAGTACTTGGAAGCTCACAGCAAGCCTGCAGTCAGCAGTTGCAAACATCACTTCCCAAAACTGGAAAAGCTCTTTTTTGGGGGGGCTAAGGATGCTGTTTGTCGAGGGGGTTTGTTCATTTTTAACTTACTTACTTACTTAATTTACTTACTTAAATGTCAGCATCCCAGGATGAGATCATCCTAGCTGCCAGCCACTGCAGCTACAGAGCAGAGTGAATCATTCCCTTCCCGTTGCTGACATCTACTGTGGGCAGTGGGTGGCAATTGTTAAATTTCTGCCATGGATTTATCTGGCTTACAGTTTTGCAAAAGAAAAATATCACTGCACTGAGATACCTTCACAAGACTATATATTTAATCTTGTACATCTAAAGTCTCCAGATTACTTTTTTTTCCCATATAAATATTGAGAAGTATTACATTGAAATCTGTTTCTTCGTTTACTGTTGCAGGGATTCAGCAGTAGAAAAGAATCACTTACCGCTGATCCAGGAGAGACTTGGGAGCTCTTCTGCAAAACTGACAAAACATTTTGTTTTGAGTGTCAACTCGCTGCTGCTCCTCCCTCCCAACTCTCCTCAGCTCCTTCTGCAAGCGGGCAATAATCTCTTCCTGTTCTTGCAGCTTTTCCTGCTGCTGTTGGTATTTTACCTGTGAACAGGCAACGGGAGCGTTACTGAATTGTTCTGACCCACACGCTGACTGTACCATACAAGCCCAGGTACACACCTGGAACCAAGGAACAGGAACCCTTGGGTTTTAGCCATGATGAAGAGACAGTGCAAGAGAGATACGGATATTTTTCAAAATTATTTCTAGAAAATTTGGCATAGTTTGAAAATACTTAGCTATCAACAGTGTACTAACCCTATGACCCAAGATTCATGTTTATTTACATCAATGTAAGTATTTTGAGATCTTCTGTAAGTCAAAAGTTTGAATCCTCAGGCAGCACTATCTAAATTACCCGTGAAGCCTGTTGCTCTTTTTGAAGTTCCTTGACTTGGTTCTGTTGCTGGCATGCCTTAGCTATTGTTTCATCTTCCAGCTGACAAATTTTGGCCTTAATGTTCTTCACCACATTTTCCAAATCATTAGCCCGTTGCTCTTGCCGAGATGCCGGACCTTGTTCCAGTTGTACCACATCTCTGAAAAAAGAAATGAATCCTTGCTTTTAAATTAAACTCATTTTACTATAGACAGTGCAGGAAGCACACACCTGACATTATGTGATGACCTCTGATAACATCCTGTGGCAGCAGGTGTGGGAAATACACTGATATGAGAAGAAGCAGCAGATGAAACAAAGGGAGAGCTTGAAAGGAACTGGGGCAATATTGTTGCATATTGAACAATAACCTCAGGAAAAAGGTCTTAGGCCTCTGGTGAGATAAGATCTCCACCAGGCTGGAGTTGCACACTGATAATATTTTTGCTCTGCAGGTAAATTCCTTCCACTGTCTTACCTAAGACATCGATTTGCTTCCATAAGTCCCTGCATCACCTTTTGCTGTCTCTCAGTGTCTTCCACCAGCATTTGCAACGCAAGTCTTATTTCTTGAGAAGACTGATGGTCTAGGACAATCATATCTGGAGACAGAGAACATAAGCAAAGTCAAAATGAAAGGGTGTGAACAGCCAAAGAAGATTTGCCTGTTTGCCACCACTAGGAAGTGACAGCTTTGGAGATGCCTGATGAACTTAGGGTTACTATATCCAAACACAAAAATTACATTTCCTTACCTGATGTATCTCTGCAGCTTTGGGGGGCAGCAAGACTGACAGGTTTCAACCCATGACACATTAATATCCTGTTTAAATTTTCCCACTCTGCCTTCTCCTGCTGCATTGGGAGAAAGGGAAAAAGACAGATACCTGAGTTCTTTGCATCAGCTGTGCAGCAGAAGGTACCAAATGCCCACAAATTAAAGCAAACTACCCCAAACCCCCAAGGGACCACTGCAGGAGGGTTTGTGAGAAACTCCACTAGGATCTGCAAAGCACACTGGGGAAATGCGTACTTAACACCACACAGTATAACCAGTTTTCCTGACCCCTACTTGAAAGCAGAACACGCGCAATGAGTTAAATCCGCCTCTTTAGGAAACGCGAACCACCGGCCCGCGGCTCCCTCCAATGCACCGGGGGCACAGCAGCCCCGCCACGAGCGGCACCCTCAGGGAGGCGGCGGCGGCTCTGGGGGGTTCACGGACCGCTCCATCGCATTCTATCCCACTCCAACCCCCCAGCAGCGACGCCCGGGGCCAGCGGGGTACCTCAATCATGGCGCGGGCCGCAGGGCACGAGTGGGGCCGCTGCTCAGGCCGCGGGGCCGCTCGGGTGGGAGCAGAGCGGCGACAGCGGCGCGCGGGGGCGGCGCTGCGCGGGCGCCACCATTTTGCGGTGCGGGAGGCGAGGGTAGGAGACCGGGCAGAGGTAGGAGCGCTACGGCCGGGCGTGGGGCTAATGAAAGCAAAAAATAAAGGCAGGGAAATGTAGAGTTGTGTTTTTCATCTTTTATTACATTTGTATTATGTATAAGTTTGTTCCATGTACCCCTGGTCCTATAACGATTCCCCCCGGGTCTTCCCGTCTCTCCCCGCAGGTCTGTTGTTCCCAAGAAATGCCAAGTAACTGTGTTTATCCCCAAATGCCTGTCTGTCACTCGGTATCCCTTCCCTCCACCTGGAATCTTCCACCCGGGATGCCGGGCGATAGGCAGACAACCTGGGACCCTCCACCTGTCCGTCCTTCATTGGATGTACCCCCGTACCCCACTGCCCTCAGACCCCCCGTGGCGTTACCCCATTGGCTGCCCCAGTTTTCCCCTGTCCTGTACTTAATCCGCGCGCGCGGCGCGCTGCTTTCTCCTGGCTGGCCCCAGCGCACGCCGCCGCCCGCCCAAGCCGCCCGGGGCTTTCCTCCCGGCCAGCTCCAGCGCGCGCCACTCCGCCCCGCCCGCCAGCGCGGCGCAGACGAACACCGGCACGGCAAGCCTTGGTCCCTTCGAATTATTGTTTTCCCCGTTGGATTGCAATAAAATCTGCCCCCCGGAGAAAGACTCTCTTCATTAAGCCGCCGTGGGGTTTGCTGATTGCTCTCCAACCCACACAGCGTCGCCCAAAGCCCGCGAGGGCTCAGCGGGAGGCGCTGGAGATCTGCCCTCTCCCCTTCTCCCCAGAGCTAGCTGGGGCAAGGGAAAGCAGGGGGAGAGAGCACCCGTCAGGGAAAAAATGGAGAAAAACTCGTTGCTGGCGGTAATGGTGGGGGCACATCTGGCGTCTGGTTTTCGCTTCCCGGTACGGTGATGAGCACTGCCGGGATTAGGTGGATCGTCTGGGGGCTGTAATTCCAGCCTGGTTTTCAGAACGAGCCCTTCCGTGTAAAGGAGCGAGCACCGCCTTGGGCTGCTGATCTGGTCAGTGAATGGAGGCGGTGGGTGCAGCTGCTGTGTGTCCCTTCTGGAGCAGCACACAGCTTTCCCTTGGGACGCGGTGGGATAGCCTTCAGCAACCACCCCGGGCCTGGGGTCAGCCTTCAGGCTCGGTGTAAAATAAATGTGTATTGCTTCATTACCATGATTTCAGGGAAAAAAAAAAAAAAAAAAAAAAAAAAAAAGTCTGTTCTGGGATGCTTCCTAACCTTTTCAGCATTGATCCTAAATGATGCCTAAAATCCACGCCGCAGCACTGGGGCCTGCCCGGGGTGATGGAGGCTCTGGGTGTCTGAGACTTTCCTGGCATCTCCTGCGTGCCCCAGGCCGCCCCTTATGTTGATCCCTGCCAAGGAATATTGCCTGCCTACTCCTTGGAGCACAGGAGGGAAATATTGCCTGCCTGCTTCTTGAACAGTGGAGGGAAATATTCCCTGCCTGCTCCTTGGAGCACAGGAGGGAAATACTCCCTGCCTGATTCCCACCATGTGCCCGGTGATGCTGCCTTCGCAGGAACCAGAAACTTCAGGAGTGGCCAAAACAACCCCCTCGGCATTTGTTAGCACTGTTTGTTTATTGATAGGTACAGACAAGACACATAATGATGAAATTAATGAGTGAAGAAAATACATTATAAACCGGTGGTTATAAAACACCATTGTGTAAGAAATTAGTTCCTTGTGGGTCACATAGATTTTGTGACTGATTTGCCAGGTCAAATTTACTAATGTGCTTGTTGAAAGCTGCTACAGTTGTTTAGAAAAGGGAGGAGGTGGAATTACTGCCTGTGCTATTTCTAATCCCAGTTTCATTACGGTCTGGGACTGAGATGGGCAGCTCTGGATTAGGTTCCTGCTTTGGTCAAGTTGTTAACTTCTAAGCTTTGTCTCACAAATCAGGAAGCCCATTTTTCTGTCCAGTAACTGACAAAGTTATGAGCAGCTAGTAAAGGTAGGACACTTTACTAGCACTTACTTGGTTCCGGGGTGCTCTCTTTTCCCCCCTTTCCCAGCTAGCTCTGTGGGGGGAGGGGAGCGCGGGCAGTTTCCGTCTTTCCCAGCGAGCCCTCGTGGGCATCGGCCGGGGCTACGTGGGTCTGAGAGCAAGCGGCGAGTCCCACGGCGAATAAAAGGAGAGACTTTTCTCCCGCGGGCAGAATTCCGGTTTATTGCAGCTTAACTGGGAAAGCAAAAACCGAAGGGGCTGCGCTTTGCCATGCCGGAGTTTGTTTGTGCTGCTCTGCCGATCGGAGCAGGGCGGCGTGCTCCGGAGCTGGCTAAGAGCCAGGAGGGGAAGCCGCGCGGGGCTGCGGCGGAGCGGAAAAGCCGCGGCAGGCTCACGTGGGTGCCGCGGCGGCAGCGGCGGCGGAGCGGAAAAACTGCAGGGGGCCGCCCGGAGCGGCGGCGGCGGGGCGGCAGCAGCACGCAGGGGCCAGCCGAGAGAAAAGCCCAGGGCATTCCCCACCCGTGGGTTAAGTACAGAACAGGGGAAACCCGGGGCAGCCAATGGGGTAACGCCACGAGAGGTCTGAGGGCAGTGGGATGCAGGGGTACATCCAATGGGGAGCGGCCAGGTGGAGGGTCCCAGGTCGTCTGCCTACCCCCCAGCTTCCCGGGACGGGATGCCGAGCGACTGACAGGCAGTCTGGGGCGTAAACACAGTGACTTTGCACTTTCTCGGGAAAACAAACCGCGGGGGGAGACGGGAAAACCCGGGGGGTCGCTACAGAGCGTGGGGGGGTACATGGAACGAACTTATACATAATACAAATGTGGTAAAACATATAATAACACAATTCCACAACTTGGTTTTGTAAAATATAATATTTTTTAAAATACGCTTGCCTTTCTGTCTTAGAGAAAGATGGTTGTATTTTAAGTGTTTTTATTTTATCATATTTATGACAGCACTGCACGCGAGTTAATGATGCTTTTAAAAATTGTCCTTTATCTTAGCTGGAGAAAATGGTGAAACTTCAGACTTCAGCACTTCTCTCCTACTATTCTGCTTTTCTATTTTTTCTTGCTTCTAATTGGATTAAAGGCTCTTTTGGCTTCCATGGCATCCGGTGAGGAGATTACTGTCTGTGACGATGAAGTAAGGTAAAGAATCAGAACTGTGATATGAGCAGATTTGGAAAGATATCCACAGTTCCAGTGGTCACTTATGACTGTATCTAAACTTAATAATCACTTGAATAAAAGGATATCTTGCCAGATCCCTTCCCCTGTGTCTGTCTGTGCAGCATTGAATATCTGAATGATGTAGGTAGTGTTTATGAGATTAGAGACAAATCTGTTAACACAGGAAATAGTTTTTAGATTATTTTTTCAAGTCTAAAAAGCTGAAACACTTTCTTTGACAAAAATCAAATAATATATTTTAATGCCTACCAAGAAATAACAGAACTGTCCAGGAGTATCTTAAAACTAAATGTAATTTTGTTACCTATTGTCAGCTGAAATGGGAGTTTTAGAGGTTAGATGAGTAGCTGTGTCTTTGTACTGTTTGTCAAAATGAGTCTGTTTAACTGTTTATATTTTGTGATGTTTTGTCATATTTGAATGTCTGAAAAACATTAAAATATAAGCAGTTCTGTAAGTGTATTCTTTCAGTTCTCATTTTGTATTTCAAAAAGTGCAAATACAAAAGCAGAAGAAGCAGTAAAGCTTTGAACTGCAGACATCAGGACTTGAACTTTCAACAACAATTAATTTACTTACTTGGTTTCTCCTTAGGTCTCGGTACAGCTACTTAGAGAAGATGACAGATTTGGTGGCTGTTTGGGAAGTAGCTTTAAGTGATGGTGTTCATAAGATTGAATTTGAACATGAGACCACTTCAGGAAAGCGTGTTGTCTATGGTGATGGAAAGGTGAAATTGCTATGTGCTCAAAATTCACTGTGATACAGATTATATAAGTGCACTTCCATGCAACACACATCACAACAAACAAAAGATTAATGAATGCGAGTGAGGTACATTCAGTTAACTACCTAATTTAATAACATGCATCATTCTTTTTTTTTTCAGTTCCAATTAAGGTGTGAGTATTCATGAAGTGCTTTGCTGTCCTTGGGCAGAGGCACTCTGTGCATACAAAGTACCATGTATGCATTCATTCCCCAACAGTAGTTCAGTACTGAGCTGTCTCCCGAGTTCCAGTTCAATTTTTTAATATTAAAACATGCACTCAGGTTTTTCAATTAATACCCACCGTGTTTGTTTTGTTTTGTTTTGTTTCTTCCTACAGGAAGAAATAAGAAGAGAATGGATGTTTAAATTAGTGGGTAAAGAAACATTCACTGTTGGAGCTACTAAAACTAAAGCTGCTATTAACATTGATGCAGTCAGTGGCTTTGCATATGAATATACTTCGGAGATCAGTGGAAAGAGTCTCAAGCAGTATATAGAGAACAGGTTAAAAACAAACCAATACTTGGATATTGAACTTGGGTGGTACAGACTATAGAATTGTTCTAGGTAAGTAAACACTGAGTGAGTGACTATATGTTGCTGCCTTTGAATAAACTTCTGTGCATTAAAAAACTGGTAATTAAGAGAAAGCACAGTTCAGTGGGTAGCTCTGATGCAGTATAAAATCCTGGGGGATGTGGAAATTTGGAACGAGATGCCAAAGATAGTCTGAAATGTAATGACTTGTTATACATGTGTGAGTCTACAGCAGTGTGGTCTACATTTGGGAGACGTTACTGCTGCTGCATCCATAGAGCTGCCCTAGCAAGGCAGTTCTTTGGGTGAAGACTGTTAAAATTTTACCTTAATTGTGATCAAACCTCATGTGGGTCTAAGTTTGTTCAGCAGGTAACCAGGCTTTCCTTCCAAAAATCATCAGCCATGGTCAAGAAGTCTTCATCTGAAGTTCAACAGTGTTATTCCACATTTTTGATAGATTGATGAACATCCTT